ATCTTTGGTGTTTAATAATTCATAAAAGAAGCACTAAGGCTTTTAGGTTAATCTAAAAGTTAAAATATTTATTGAAAGTACCGCATAAACCTGATAAATCTCCGTGCATATTTCAACGATCGTCCAACACTTTCTTTTTGTTCTGCTGCTCCATTATTTGGTGGAACTCTAATCCCAATTGAGATCATCTTATAATCATTCTAGTCCATCATCCATAAATCATTTAATAAATTGCTGTCCAAGCAGCCAAACCAAACAATAAGATCAAACTGGATTTCCGTTTTGGCAAACCAAAATAAAAACCAAATACAAAATTTGGTTGCCTTATGGATGCCTCTCCTGGAACCGGACAGACACTCTCTAACGGTCGACCATGTTGCATATAACTCAAACTGAAAGCTTTTTACTTTATCTGATTAGGAGGGAATAAATCAAAATGCCTCGCACCTAGCCCTGGGGGCCCTGTCCCACAGAACCCGAGGCAATCGGAGATTGAGAGTCCCCCCAGTCCGAGTCGAAGTCCGAGGGTAAGCCGTCTCGACCCAATCAAAAACGCATTAAAATCAAAAGGCCGACAAAATAAACAGCAACAATTTGTCAAACTGGCAACAACAATCAACGCCATTTAATTAGATGCCATTGATTAGGAGTCCCCAGTCCCCACTCTGCCCCACTCTGCCCCACTCTGCCGCCCCTGTGGCAGGGGAATGCGCATCTTCGAATGCATTTCTGTAATTTTTTGTGTCTTTTTCCTTCCCGCCACTTGAAAACTCGTCGAGCTTGACAAATTTGACAGGCTTGATTGAAAATGAAAAGTTCAACACAAAAGGCTCTTCGACAATAGAAAGGGGGCCCCGAAAAGAATTTCCGTCGCACTCTCATTGAAAGCCCAAGCTTTCGGGCCCAACAAAAGATGACCAGCAAGGGGCGACAGACAGAGTTGAAGTTCGGTGTTGGACATTTGAAAGTCTGGGAGTCGTCGACTGGGAAAGCAAATGTCAAGTAGTTGGCACTTTCAAAAATATAAAAATAAAATCGAAAAACAAATATCTTCGCTCATCTGCGTTTTTCCCATCGCCCTCGATCGTTCGCCTCGTAGGTGAGAATTTATGTAGATTTTTTTTGTTGGGCTGCTGCTGCCTGCAGCTGCTTGGCCGGGGCTATTTGTCAAATTGTTAAGTCTTTAGTCTATGGAGGGATTGACAGGCGGGGTAACTGGTCAACTAGCTGCTGTTTCGATTTGGCTGCCACCTTGCCCCAGCGACTGCAAACACCAACCAAAAACCATGCTCGTGATATTGTAGAAATATTTCATGTCTGTGACGTGGCAGCCACCTAAACAAGCCGCTTAGTTGTACATTTTTTTTCTACATTTGCAGCCACATTTTTTTCCAGGTGTTGGCAAATATTTGAAATACTTATCTTGCCATTGGAAATGCAACAATGAAATGAGATTTGAAAGAGCTACAGATGTGATTGAAGAGTGCAGAAGAGCTGTAAGATCTTGGAATTGAGATTCCATTGATCCCTCTACTAGTTGCTGTCTGCTAGTGCCAATTGGGGTCACCAAAACTCCTCGTTTTCACTTTGCCCATGTAATGATCTATTGAGTAAAAGGTTTCTCGTTCTGCCCATAAAAGGGGGGGGCTTAAAGACTTTAACCCAGTTTAAAGGGAGCCCAGAAAAAGAAAAGTTATCTGAGAACACAATGAGCCGCAGAGCAGACGAGGCAGACGTGGCAGAACAGTTATGATTGTTTGCACAAGACGGTCCCTAAGTAGGCTGTTGGAAGGTGCCAAAAACCCATGCACCAGCCGCCTGCCTCTGCCTGCAATGAGGAAGGTCAGTGAGTGGTTAATTACCGAAGCCAACCGAACCGTACGGAGTCGCAGTTGGAGTCGGAGTCGGAAAAACACCCGCAATCTATCTCTAGCCGAGAGAAGAGGCAGTCGGAGCCCAGCTACAGCTACAGTTAGCATTCCATCAAGGCAAGTGCCACAACAAGTTGCCGCGCGACCAGGCCTAACTGTTGGCCAGCGTTTTTTTTTATGACGTTTGGGCAAACGGGATGGGAGGGGTGTGGAGTGGGTGTGAGAGATCGACTGGGAGTGGGGGGCTTGGGACTTGGGGCGTGGCCAAACATTGACAAATCATCTTGACACCTCTGGACTGTCATAAAAATGGGTTACGGACATGATTTGCAATGCAATAAACTTAATTGAGTGCGCGTCAGATTTTAATTTTAACCGAAACCCCGAAAACCGGTTCAAACATCGGAATTCCCCCAGACCCCATACGAATATACGCGAGAGTATTGTATGAAGCACACAAAAATGTGATGTGTATAGCCGAATCGAAATAAACTAAATAATGAGCTGGTTCTAAGGCGCGAAAGTCGTAAAACGTTTTTGGTTTTTGGTTTTTTGCTTTGTTTTGTTTTTGTTTTTGATGCCATCATGGTTCCTTTTTGATATTTGTTTTAACGATGCCATTAAAATCCCTCTACATTGTGGTTGTTGCTCTTTTTCTGTATTTTTTTTTTGTGTGTGTTTGTTTGATACCGAAGACAGATTCGTTGCTGGATTTAGTTATCGCATTATAAAATGTCGCGCCGTTTAAATGGCGCCAAATTGTTAATAATCGACGCATACTATACGGAATTTGTGGCTTTAGTGGTTTGCTATAAATATTATTATAATGACCATCAATTCGCATTGATTTAATCAAAATTTTTTTTTAAGCAAGTGCGTCAGCGGTTTCGGTTTGATGGGTGGTCTGATTGGGGTACCATAAATGATTGAGAGTACTTAAGGATTTGTCTAAACACAAAAGGATATAAAGAATAGAAAATATTGTGCATTTCTTTATCGTTGGCTTTAGTTCTTTGCAGCATTGTAAGCGAAAATTTCTATACATTCCACTTCCAGCTGCCTGATATTCTTCTCAGATCTCAAGCAGCCGTCCCAAGTGCAACTTTTCTCTTTATGCAAATTAAATAAAGCCGCCAACTAATCTCCCGTAATTGCTGACTGTCATCAAAGTTGGCAAAATCACAGCGTAAGCTGCACTTGAAAAATGGTTACAAAATCAACATGAATATGAATCTTTCAGATAGATCTCTCAGTCTGTGGGGCTGGGTGCTGAATAGGTATTTCCGTCACTTAAGCCGCAGCTTAAAATGTTTCTTCATTAGAATAAGTGTCATAAAAATATAGGCATAAAAAAAACATCTTTCAGATGCCCGACCGTAAGCGGATCTAATCATTTTCCCATAAACAGCCGGCGATGCTCAACCAAAATCTGCTTAAATTTCACCTGACACGCTAATTTGGCTAATAAACATTCAACTTCGGTCAACGAAAACCCTCTAAAAAAAAAGTCCAACCACAAAATTCAAACGAAATTTCGAAGGCGCCAAGCCATTTGACCAATTTGGTCGGTGGCGGCTGCAGCTGCGCGGGGGGGACACTGCCGAAAGTCAACAAATAAATTTTTTTTTTTTTTGTATACAAGAAAGTAATAAAATTAAATAATTTACATATAAGACCGACATTCCTATCCGCAGGTTGTTCTTGCACTGCTCCTCCGGTGATAAATTCGACGCTACTCAAAACCAGTGAGCTATTTGCCGTTGAAATATTTTGACGCCAAACCGAGACATATTCTCATGCAAATTTTGTATCTCATTTGTTTGTATTTTTTGTTTGAATGTACATATATATTCCCTCCCCCCAAGCCATCAAACCGGCTGATCTACCCAGATGGAGGTGTAACATTCAAGTTTTTGACATAATATTGAGCTTAGAGACTTTTGAATATTTCGTGGAAAAATTCACTTGATTCGGGGAGAAGCAACTTTTATTTCGGAATCAATACCATAATGATCCTTAAGGTTTCCATTCAAGTTCCAGCCAAATAACATCTTGGATGTGGCGATAAACCATGTCAGTGTTCATTAAGTTGTCCGTTCTACCAACTAGATATCCGATCAAATCTCCATTAATTCAATGACAGTTTTCCAAAACGAGTCAAAGGTTTATGTAGGTTCTCAGTTTTGGAGAGCATCTGCCAAGTCCCATAGACAGAGTCTTACAAAAGTGGCAAGTGCTTTGCGTATTTAAATTTATCGCTTAACAAATTTATTTTTTGTTAAACAAATTTATAAATTATTACTTTGAACGTATAATAAAATTTCATTAGCGGCTCCATCACCGGCGTTGGCGTTGGTGTTTTTCGTTTGTATTTTGCGGTGCAGACGGCGCCACTCGGCCGAGAGCGCATGCGTCCCTGCCCACCGCCTTTGTTTTGGACAGAGAGCTGTCGGAGATTTTGTAGAAAAGTCAGGCGCAAGTTGATAAATCTGGGACCGAGCAAGCGACAACCGACAGCCAACACTGGTCACTGATCACTGGTCGCACTTGCGGGCAAATTTGCATACGTCGCCTCAGCATACAAAAAATGTTGGTTAATTAATTTCAGACACGCCATATGTCTTGGATGCTTTGCATAAATTAATATGAAATCTTTATTTATGATTTATGCGGTGTCAACATGCCCCCGACATCTATCAAACATTTTCCCTTAGCCCCAAATTACAACAAAGCCGAAGATCACAACGAGAGAGAGAGAGATAGATAAAGAGAGTGAGATCTTTGTGATGAAAATTGCCGAAAAGCGCCCACGCGCCTTTTTACCCGCGACTTTGTGGCGTCCCAGCGGCGACTCTACCCGCTTCATAATTTATTGTTATCCAAACAGATTGAGGTCATAGGCGGGCGATTTACACATTGTCACATTGTTCGAGATTCTTATCAAATTTTACATGATTTTCGTATTATGTGTGGAATTTTTTTTAGGTTTTTTTCCAATATTTTTTAGTGCGGCCAACTGAATGGGAATTCCAATTCAAATTGGGTGTCAAAGATGCTTGTGGATGCTGGCAAAGATGTTTCCGGATTGCGAGATATCAGCAGATAATAATATCAGGCGCAGGAATCGGTTCATGTGGCATATACCTATAAGGGAAGTCTTAACAATAATCTCACCTTTAATTTCAAACCTTTTACCCAAGCGATTGCCAATTTCATTAACGAACTCGCAACATGTATGTATGTTTGATTTTTATCGCAAAAAGCTGATTAGAGCCCCGAATTAGAGGGAAGTACCCATTTAATTTCGAAATAAATACCACAGGTTTGTATTGTACTATATGTGTTTCATATTTATTATTTTGAATTCGTATCGTTTCATCGTCATTCGCAAATTGCTCGTTATAATTACTATTATGGTTATTATTGATCAGCAGCCCATTATCGTTATCATTATCATTGTGATTCTGATTATCGTTAACAACGTTAATATTTGCATTGAAATTATCAATATTAGGTTGTTGCTGAGGCTGCTGCTGCTGCTGCTGCTGCTCCGCCTGCTGCGGCTGTGGCATTTCTAGGCTACGAAAAAGCTTCTTTAGAATATGTATTTCGTGCTCGTCCTCGATTGGATAGCTATCGGCGACTATATTATTATTAGCATCAATATGATTGCGATACTCCACCACAGTTTCGATAACTGTTTCCGCTTTCGTTACGGTTTCCGTTTCCGTTTCCGCTTCTCTTTCTGCTTCTCTTACCGTTTCAGTTGCAGTTTCAACTGCATCTACCACACTGTCAATTCGATCGTTGGATTGCTTAAGATTATTGTCAATATTCTGATTGAACGCGCTCTGGCTATGGCTATGGCTATGGCTATGGCTATGGCTATTTGGACTATCGAACTTAGTGCTAGTCTCTAAACTACTAGAATCAGTCGTGCTACTTTTAGTATTCATATTATAATGCTCGTTACTGTACAAGTAGTTGTAGTTTTTTGGCAAGGCAGGTATTGCATTATTAACATTATCGCTATTACTATTTATATATAGACTATGATCTACGTTTAGATTACGGCTTACGTTTAGGTGTTGTGGTAGCTGCAGGGTTTGCTCTGGGCTTAGGGTTAGGTTTCTATTAACATAGGGTCTTGAGTATTCGTTTTGTTGCTGCTCCAGCTGCTGCTGCTGGTCCTGCTGGCGCTGCGAGGCCATCTCCACCAGCTGCATGTCCATGCCCTCGCTCCGCCCCGACCCACTTGTGGCCGCACCGGAACCAGCGGCTGCCGCTGATCCCGCTGAAGCGGCAGACCTTTTCCGCCTGTCCCGCTTTCGCCGACTGGCAGCCAGCATGGCCACCAGATTGAAGGCGGAGGGGGCCAGCGAGGCCGCCGTGGCTGTCAGGGCCGTTGTGGTGGCCGACGACGAGGAGGATGAGGAGGCGGACGAGGATGCCTTGGGCAGGTGCTCGGTGTCGCGCTCTCGCGACCCCTCACGCTGCTCCTGCTCCCACTGCTGCTGCTGCTGCTTGTGGCGGCGTCTCTCCCTCAGCCGCCGGCGTCTACGGCGCTCCATGAGGGTGGCGTTGTTGTGATGGTGGCGCACCTCCAGGTTCTTCGGCTGCGGCTGTTGCATGACACCCGCGGCGCCGCTGTGTTGCCGCTGGCGTAGGCGGTGCTGCTGCTGCTGGTGGTGTTGCCGCCGTTCCCAATTTCGCTTGATGATTTTTTGCTCCTGCAAACTGTCATCCAAATGGTTGCCTTTCTTGTTGCTATTGTGGCTATTGTTGCTATTGGCTTGGTTGTAGGACTTAGGGCTATTGCTGTTGCTGTTGCTGTTGTGGTTGTTGTGGGATATAGAAGAACTATCGCTAGTAATACTTGTTGCTGCTGAAGGTGCTGCGGGGCGACGCGGCTTTCCACGCACGCGTTTCGTGCCCGTCACTGGCACTGGGCTCAGCATTGTGGTTGCTGTGGGGCTGATTGGGGCTGGTGGGGTGGTGCTTGTTGTGGGCATGGCCGTAGTGCTGCTTGTTGTTGTACTGGGCGTGGTTGTTGTCGTCGACGTGGTTGTTGTCGTTGCTGTTTTAGTGGTTTTGGTCGGGGGTCCAAGCAGCTTGTGTTTGCCGGGACCCAGCAGCGCCATGTTGCTGCGGAAATGCTCCGCCTCCGAGCGGTAGAAGAGGAAACAGGCATTACGCATCCGTTTCGGGCGCTCCATGTCCCGCGGTCCGATGGGCCTAAAGTTTCGCTTGATGCCCACTTGCAGCACCGGATTGTAGGCGTGCGTAAACCGATAGTAGCCCCGATCCATTGACTCCCTGAAGTGGCAATCGTTTGTGGCGTTTCTCTGTTTGTAGAGCGTCCAGATAAGAAGAGACAGAGAGAGAAAAAGGGGAAGAACTTGGGTTAGTCTGGCTTGCAAGAGGCAGCGATACTGCGAGAGGTGAAAATAGGGAAAAGGTCTCGCGTCGAAACTAACCTTTCCAACCAGTTTGCCTTGATGGAAGCACAGATAGTAGTCCACATCCTTGGCATAGATGGTGATTTTGAAATCCACGCTCAGTGCATCGCCCACACTGTCCATGGTGAAGGATTCTGTGGAAAGAGGGCAAGCAAGCAAATCGAAAATCAAAATTTAATTAATTATTGGCAAACAAAAGTTGTCTATTGTGTAAATAGTATAGGTATAGTATAGGTCCAGTCGTGGTGGCGGTGGTGGAACACGGAGCAGCACTTGAGCCGAGCCGCCTGCAGATAACCCAATTAATTGAAACGTTCTCCGATAAAGTTATGAAAGGCGTTTGATAAGTGCGCCCCAGTGCCGCTGCAAAGCAGCTCCAATGTTGGGACATTTAATAAAATCAATAAATCAACTAAGTCAATTACTGCCGTTCGTTCAGTCGTTGAACTCCCTTCGCTGCCCTCTTAGCCAAAAGGGTTTAACCCTGAAAACCTGTCAGCCCTGATAATTCTCAGCTGTGGGTTGTCTGAGGGTTTGGGGTTAGAGTTTTGTATTGCGTCTGATTTCTGGGGCTGGGGGAAGACCTTCGGGCATACGACAAAAGCAAATCGATCAAGTTGCCTAAACCCCAAGTATTCCCCCTGCAGAAGCAGCAGCAGCAGCAGCACACGCACTACCACTAGCACTAGCACTCGCAGCCTGATAAGATAAAATACCTAAGTGACAATTTGTTTCCTCTCTATACCCTTGCAGGGTTGGGGGTGGGAGGTTATACGAATTTGATCTAAGATTTGCAGCGCAGTGAAACCCGAACAAAAGAATTCCCATGGTTGCATTCTGCCCGGGTTTCCGCTAAGGGTATTTCTTGCTTCCACAAACCGTAAATAGCATTTCATTCTCGTTGATTTGTTTGTTTGTTTTAATTTATGGATAAAGACGGTTGTTCAGGTTTCACGATTACGCGCTTCGAACTGTTTCAGTACCAGTTCCATTCCTAATTCCCAATTCCCAATCTGATCTTATCAGTGACGCAATGTGTGGCGCCCACTAGCCGCCCCACTGATTGTTGTGCCTGTACCCGTGCCGAGGCCTGGTATTCTCACGCCCCTGCGGTCTGGTCTGGTCTGCTCTGGTTTGGTCTTGTCGCTTTCGGTCACCCATCAACCTACTATGCACACACACATACATATAGGAAATGTGGAGATGCGGCGCTGGGGGGCTGCTGCGGCTGCTCCTGAACTTCACAGAGACGGCTTGGAAAACCGCAGAAAAAGCAAATAAATTCGAAATAAATTAAAAGACGCTGCGCGGCGCGGGTTGGGATGGGATGGGATGGGATGTGATGGCAAACGAAATAAACCGCAATATGGGCGCCGCTTGGGTCGGCTTCGTGGCGGTTCATAACATCAATCAAATATTAAATTACCAATAATTTAATTAAGCACACCATATGCACAGACACAGACACGCGGACTGAGACGGAGACGGAGACAGAGACGTAGACAGAGTTCAAAATATGTACATGGAATGTACGTACAAATGTACATAGTATAAATGCCAATTTAATTTAAATGCCAATGGTAATTGATGAACGAACTCGGGAATGAGTAGTCTGTCTTGTCTTGTCTTGGTTCTGTTCGGTTCGGTATAGTTTGGTTGGGAGGGAGGAAGGGTTGGTTGGGTGCTTTTGTACTTACGTGCCAGCGATATGTCCTCCGCGGTCACTTTGCCGTGCGCGTTGATGTGCAGCGCACGATCGTTGTGTTTCATCAATGTTAAAACATATTCGTCCGTTTTCTTTGCGCTTGTTTTGATCACAAGAGCAAGCACAAGAGCAACCTGTAGGGAGAGACAGAGAGAGAGAGAGAGAGGAATGCGATTAATAGCCGATTCGTTTGCATTAAAGTCGCATCTGGCGACTAATCCCAGCATCCCAGCAGCACAGCAAAGCGGAACGGAACGGAACCCTTTTGCCCCATAAATTTCCATTAATACGATGAGCTTTTTATTATGGAGCCGAGCCTGATGACGACGACACATGTGACACTGTCGGCCCAAGGCCTTTTATGGTCAAAGTTGAGCCCGACCGCCAGTTGGGGCCCGCAGGTAATTGCCTTCGGGAATGGAATGACATTGTCGGTGTGGGCACATCTGCTGGCAGTAGTCGTAAGCGGACTTTTGTACATATAAATTGCATGTGGATTAAACTGACATCAAAATGGGAGCTAAGCCATTCGAGCTGCAAGTAGTTTGTGGCTATCTATCACAGTGGGAGGTCTGTCTACACAACCACTATGTTGACTAGCTCTGCCCCTTTTTCCGATTGGATGTACCCCATTGGCTGACTCCACCCACTGGCCCACTGCACGTGTCTGGCTCATGTCTCGCTGGGATGACACGTTTCCCACCTTTGACCAACTGAATTTCACCAAGACCATTAATGATATCACGCATAGATATGGCAAATATGCAAATCGGCAAAAACAAAACAACCCAACCCAACCCAACCAGACATATGACATATCAGAATGGATCGTGGTGTAGCCAAGCGGAATCGGTCGGTGTTTATCGGTCTGCTGGGGGCTTATATAGAGCCCAAATGATACATCAATTCCTGGCAGCGCACGGCACCAAGGAATCCAACGACCTGTCCACTAGTTATTTTCGTGCAGAGTGCTAAAAATATGCGCAGGGCTCAAGGGGGATTTGCTGGTGGGCGATACTACCATTAAAATGTATCGCAAGCCAAAACAAATTGAGCCCAGTACCGAGGAGGCGCGTGCCAGTCGATGTCACCAATGTCCAATGCCTCTGGGCATGGCCAATCGGTTCGAGTTCGCCCAAATCGCACAAATCTCTGCCTGTCAACGGCTCATCCTCGTCGAGCTTGAAGTTGACAGAATGTCTTGCCAGTGTGGCACATGGGGCAGTGTGGAGCGGGTAGCGGGGACCCTTCTGTTTGCACTACTCAAAACTCAAAATTCGAAAATACGGTTTCGTTTTTTTTTTTTGGGGTCTTTTTCCATAGTTCAATGACGCTTCAGTGCGTGTGTGTGAGTGCGAGTGTGTGTAATAATCATAATAATAATTATTATTATTATTTTTTTTAGTTGTTTTTTTATGGATAGGCTCAAGTGGAGACCCCACAGCCGAGAGCCACAGAGCCACTCCAAAGTACACACGCTCTCATATCAAACTCCGAATGGGTTTCCCCACTCCACTCCCCCACCCCAATCTACGATTACACACACTCAATCTCCCGATCTTGTTATGGGCCAAAAACAAAACAACAACCAAAAAATAGCGTACACATAACAATATTTTGACATTTTGTGTGTTATTTTTCCATGATAATTATTCAGAGTTTCGAAAATAATGGAATAGAGGGGGAGGGGTGGTTACTTTCGATTGAGCTTTGAAGAATCCCAGATGGTCTTGGCCGAAACTGGGTGAAAAAGGGTGAGCTGTACTCGATACTCGTGTGGAATCGATTGGACTGGAGCGTAGGAAATTATGTTCGCTCAGCGGATTCCCCCACATAAATTAGTTGCTTGCGATTATATATACAAATTATACGCCATAAATCCGCTAAGCTTTACAATTACCCCCAGCTCACCCCCTCCCTTTCCACGCGCTCGTTAAAATGCAAAATATTATTTTACATAAGCACCGATTGGCAGGGCACAAATATTTCTGTACTCTTACTACTCGTAGGTACGAGTAGTATATAGTAAATCAATCAAGGCGATCCTCGAATCTAGGCCACGCCCCAGCCTGAGACAGTGTTCGGATCACAGTGAACACTCGCTGAGTGCAACGCTACTCACCATCAGTATAAAAATAGTCCTGACATTGGGCAGCGTGAACCGTAGTAACCTGCAAGTAGAAAAACGGAATGGAATTAATACGCTGTACGGTCGTTTAGTACGGGCGAATATACAAGGCGAAATTACGATACCCACTATAAATAACGAATTGAGTATGATTCAAAAATATAAGGAAATTTGCATAAATCTTACACATTATTATTAATGATTATTATTGATTTTATTGATTTGTTTTCAACCGTTTTTTTTTTTCTGTTGAATTTTTTTCTGTTGTTTATTCGGACTTCCGTCTGAGTCTGAGTCTCAGTCCCAGTCCCAGGCCGAGTCATAGTCTCGTAGTCGTCGGGGTCTTGATCTTGGGCTTAAACAACAATTAAGTCATTTCATCGTGAGATGATCGTGAGCTCTTTAAAAACAACACATATCCATCCATCCATCCATCCATCCATCCATCCATCCGCAGTCTCTATGGAGAGCCCTTTCAGTGGCTCTGGCTCAATGTCACCCCCCACAAGTGACCACAAGTGGCCGGGCCACTTGGGGCAAAAATGCTATATATATATATATATTTTTTTTTACTTTTTATGTATCGATTCAACTGAACAACTATTGTGGCCAGAGTGTGTGAGAGAGCGGGAAAGTCTTGGTATATTTTTTTGCAAAAGTATTCTGCATATTTTGTTTCACGACCAACTAATCCCCGCCAGGTCCAGGTCCAGGTCCAGGTCCATGTTCAGGCCCAGGCCGAAAAGGTCATTGATTTCAGCTTAGCACTGAACTGAACTGAACTACAAAACCAAGAACAAAACAAAACAAAAAGCCGAACACTGAACACAGAACAGAACACAGAACACAAAACTCAAGACCAAGAAGGGTAGTTTCTTGAGACGAAGGTCTTTTGCCTTGCCTTGGCTTGCCACCATTATGTAGCCATGTACTGCCATCGCTGTTCTTCGTTCTCCGTTGAAAAGTGAAAATATAAAGAATCAAGCTCAAGAAATCAATACAGAGAGGGCGAGAGAGAGAGAGAGACGGAGACCGAGACTGAGACCGAAAGTCAAAAGCGAAAAGCAAAAGCCAAAGGCAAAGGGAAGAGGCGCATTCAATTCATTGCAAGTCCCAAGCCATTTGCCCTCTCAGTGGGCAGTCCCCAAAATCAAATGCCCTGGGCCATGTGGCGTGCGATTTTTATCATTTTTCAATTTCACGGCAGACAATACGCTCCATTTGAAATGTGCACACACATGAATATAAATGAAATTGCTCAGTGCCCCGGAGTTAGAGAATTTCAAACGTTTGGCGAGCATAGTATTCCTCCGCTTTTTGGGCTTTCGCTTTGGCAAGCAATTAAATCAGCTTTGTGCTCCACGTGTTTCACGTGTCCAGCAATTTATGTTTGGCTTGCATTCCCAGAAAGTTGCCAAAATATGAAAAGTTTTTGCATATTTGCACTGGTGCTCGTGTGGGGGTGTTGGCCATACTGCTGACTGCTGATCAATGGGCAGAGGTTTCACTTACTGTGGAGCGATGCGATGGATGGACCGGTAAGGATGGGGAAAGCTCTGGCTTGCCAACCGCAAAGGAGCGAAAACCGAAAAAAAAAAACTGAAACTGAAACTGAAACCGAAACCGAAACTTTAGAAATGGAATTCTCTAATACACAGCACAAAAGCCCATCATGTGACCCGGTGTTTCGTGGCTGGCTCTATGCCGCTTCTATGCGCGATTCTCATGTATGTAATCGGATATCACTTCTATGGCAAGTCGCCTCTGTCTGTGCTTTACTTTTGTGTGTTGCTCGTACCTTACAATGCGACTCATAATTACCTTATTTGGTATGCAGACAGAAGCACAGCCATCCCAGGCAGCCAGGGCAGCCACGCAGCCAGTGACGCCCAAGCTATTGGGATGGATGGAAGTTTCAGAAGGCAGTCAAAAAGGGTCCCAACTTCTGTTCCCTTCAGCTCTTGTCTGGCTTACGCAATGCTGTTGCCGGTACCCTGAGAATGTGCCCTGAATAATGAATAGTTTTCTTTAGTCCGATTGAAAAGTTTTCCTTTCGCTACGTGCCTGTCGCTTGGCAATGGCTGGGACCTCCCAAAAGGTCAGGCAAAGAAATACCGCCCCTAGTGCCAAGTGCCAGCCTGAAAGAAGCTTTCGAACGCTCACAAATACTATTGCCTGATGTATGTACGTGTGTATGTGTGTGATTTGTGGCTCTTGGGGCAGCGTCTACGTCACAAACCACTTTTGAAAAGTGCAATCTAATCACTTGGACATTTTTTCAGGCCTTAATTAGTTTGTCCATTCGATTGTATGGGTATTTTGATTTGGAAATAAATAAATCAACTCAACTCAAGCTGTTTGAATGGAAATCAAAATTAAAATTAAACTCCAAGTGTTTCCACCCCGAACCCCAACCCCAACCCCAACCCATCCACCGATAAATATGCTAAGTAAAGCCAACTTGTCAGCAACGGAAACTCTGTTGCCTCTGATGTCTTTAGATCTGCCCAGTAGATGCAAACTAGTTTGGTTTTTCGCCCAAGAGAACGGGTCAGGCACGTGTTGTCGCCGGACTTTAACACTTGTTGATTCAACATCCACAAAATAATACCCGCTTTATATGTGAATTAAATGTGGACATACTCGGCATCTGTGGAATGTGTCGATGATTAGATTAAGCCAAAGTATTTGGACAGCGGGTGAATTGGCAAAAAATGATCCCAGAGATAAACCACAAAGAAAGTGATTGCCATGTTCCTGCCCACTTATGCGGCCCTCTGATTGCGGCCACGTGTTTTCTCTGGCACTAACACCTCTTCTCATCCCATCGCATCTCATCAATCATGTAATCGCCTCGACATAATTACAGCTACAGGAGCTACACGGGCATAGCCCTTCAGTATAATGTGCCACGTGTACAATGGGGAGACCAAGTGTGAAATTCCCTACCGTCAATTGTGCGTATGATGGTGATTGTGTGAATGTATTAATGTATTAATGGCGGAGCAACTTGCCCGTACAGTGCTGTGCTGTGCTGTGCTGCACTTAATGCAATTCTTTGCTTTTGTTTTAGGGGTTGTAACTGGGATGTTACTTAATACTCTTTCATCATCCACCTTGCGCTTTTCGCCGAGCCAACAACCCTAAGCCTCATCCCCCTTAATGCTCCGAGCATGTTTCCGATTTGGATTCCGATTCCGATTGCGACTCCTCGTCCGACCGGCTGCAACTGCAACTTTTACGGTGCTGTGCATTTGCCGCTGTTTGCTCTCCGATCCGCTGCGACTTAATGAAGTTCTAGCGCAGAGGGTGGATGGATGGATGGATATCCACCCAACATACACGTTATTTACTGACTTTGACAGTTGCCAGTTCGAGTTCTACTGCTGCTGCTGCCGCTGCTGCTGCTGCTGCTGCCATTGTTGTCAGCGCGCACAGGCGTTGTGCATTATATGAAAATATTTATATAATTTTTGCAGCGACAATCGCTGGAGAACCGCAACAGGCGGCAGTGGGAGGCAGATCTGGGGTGTGGGAAATGTGGGAATGCGAATGCGAATGCAAGTGGAAGTGGAAGTGGGAGAGAGGAATCCAAGGTATGCATTTCAATCGTGTATTCATGGTGGAAGTTGAGAAGTGGAACAACATGCAAAAGTCTAACCAAAAGTAGTGACATGTAATGCTAATAAACTGAATATTTGAATATTTATTCAAGTCCCAAGCAACGCATCTGAGGGCGCAAAATCCTTGCATACTTTTGGCATCCACTCAGAAGTGGCCCTAAAGCCTTTTGGGCTAGACCCAACCCACCCATTCTAGAACTCGTCTCTCAACCCCAAAACACTTGAACCTGCAGCCGCAACAGCAACAGCAACGCCCCAAATATCAACAGACTAGGGAGCACCACCACAACAACAAAGATCCGACGGGGAATCAGGGGGAATCCGTGAGAGTTCAGTGTACTCCAGCGATAAGCTAATGTTGTTGCCTGTCGCTAGATATTCGTACAGTATATTGGGTAGGTGGAGAGCGGGAGGGGGGGCAACCAGAGCAGAAGTCGCGCCAAATGAGTTGATGTGTACGGAGCAGCACAGTGTCAAGGCTGCGATGGAGATGGCGATGGAGATGGCGATGAAGGTGGATGTGAATATGGAAATGGAAATGGAAAGGCTGACGTGCCACAACACAAAACTCGACTCATTAGCAGTCATTACGTACGCTCCCTCGCTGTTTCTCTGATGCTGCTGCATAATTCCCGAATAGGCGTGAAGTTTACACAGGCCCTCGGAATCGGAATGGGCCTGGCCCTGTTCGAGGGGTTGGATCTAATGCGATTTTCACTGCGACAGCTGCTGCTGCTGCTGCTGTTGCTCTATTGGGTGATAAGCCGCTTTCAGAGCCCTTTTCTGATAAGTAGCCAGCAGGCCAGGCCAGGCCCGGCCAGGCCGACGACGGGCTACTTAAGTGGCAGCGGCCAGATACTTTGTTGTGCTAGGCAGCCATTCAGCAACTTTCCCAAAGTGTCAACACCGAACAGCCCGTCCCAGACACATGCCCCAGAGGCGGGACCAAGAGGAGTCCGTCTCTGAGTCAGAGTCAGAGTCGGGGAGGGAGTCGATGGAGAGTCCAAGGCAAACATGGCAAGTGCATTGATTGAATGTCTAGGGACTGACTGTGCGAGTTACTCAAATATGACACCTTTTTTTTCTGGTGGCAAATAACAATAATTATGCACCTGAGATGCCCTCTTCGATGGCGATTCGACAAGCGGTTTTAGTTTTTCATCTGCCTTTAAATGGTTTGCCATATAACAAAATTGATGAATATATCGATTTATTGGTGATTTTGTTATCGTCATCTTGCACTTATCGGACACAAAAATGCAGTCATAAAACTCGCTTTTACATTCCTCTGTAAGAATTTGATTAACTCTGATAAGGCGCCCTCGGCATTGCCAATAAATCAATCGAAAATCGAAATAAAAGCACAGCCTTGACAATAACTCATCCATAAATCAATCGCTAAGCTTATTAACGAAAAGAAGAAAAAAAAAATAAAATAAAACCCCTATGAATAGATAACTGCCATTATTCCCCAGGCCGGATTTCTTCAAAACTTTCTAATTCCAGGCGAGAGATTCATCAAAAAAAAAATCTCTTATCGATTGCTGTGCATCTTCGAAATCACCCGGTCAGGGCCTAGGCCTTCGTTGGCTGTGCAAAGTGGGTGTGTTTGTTGTTTTACACAACCGTAAAACAACAATGACAGCAACAGCAACAGCAACAACAACAATGCGCATTGTAGGTCAGGTGCAACGTCAATCGTCTTTGGCCCTATGCAGCTGTATAGAGAAGAGACTACAACTGCGACTACGACAGAGAGTGGGACTGCGACTGCGACTGCGACTGGTAGTAATTCATAATGCAAATATTTGCATAAATCGAACAATTTTATAACCAAACCAGCTGGCATATCGTATCTACTGCCAGTACACTGGCCAGTGGCACACACATCTCTCGTTTGGTTTCCCCCTACAAATATTTCAATTGTTTTATAACAGCCAAAAGAAAGCGAAGCTATCAGCGCGGAAAACTTTAGTAATAGCAAAACCAACAGCACAGCGTAGTAAATAGGTCTGGTCTGGCAGTGTTTTAGCAGCCAACGAAAGAAAAGCAAAATAAACAAACACTTGACGGTCGTCCGCATGGTTCTTGGGCTCGCCAACGTTTTCGGCGCATTGTTATTATTATTATTTTATTTGCACACAAAAATACTGTTACTGTATAGCGGACAGTATACATGCACAGACCTATGAAGATATAACCGAGGGGGGAAGCAGCAGTATGTGTGGCTACTACTACTAGGCGTAGTACGCCGCGACGTATATTTTGAACGTGTTCGCTGATAAGATAATGGGGCAGAGTGGGGGGGAGGGCGCTTGGTTTTCAACGCCAACCTCGGCTGGAGTTCAGAGCAGGGCAGGGGTCTGTGGCTTTGGGGATAGCTGGTGGTGCGAGATCCTAGCCAGTTAGTCACTGGCATTGAGCCAACCAGATTGCTGGCCCATAAACGAATAAACAGACATATATAAGCAATCGCTCGCAAATCGAAAATCGTATAAGCCTAATCGGAATATCTGACTCGTGCGGCGACTCCCTTGGCTGTTGTTCGGGAAGTCTTAGATCGATGTTCAGCAATGTGGAATGCGAGAAATGTTTCGCATTGCAAATGCCTCAAAAATGTTTTAAGACGCCTCACTTTCCGCACTTTCTGGCGGCTTTCGTTGAGCCCAGCTGGGCTGCTGTGACTAATCGTAACCGATATACTAAATGCTCTATTTGTATATCCAAGAATGATCTCCATTACATGCACATCATCATGGGCTTCTGGTGGGTGGGCCAGCCCTATGGAACGTGACTTTGAAAGTCGTTGGGGATCGCAGCCACTGGCTGTGGCGTCATATGCCTATGTTCCTGACATTACATTGCATTACTCAATTTTGTTTAACCAACTCTTGGCACCGCCCTCAGTAATCGGAGCAGGCACCACACCACACCACACACAGCTTTTGCCACCCGCGCGTAACCTAATTATAAAAGTTGATGTGTGACATTTTGTTCAGTTTTTGCGAATTTCAGACGCCAGCAAACTTTTGTTTCGCCTTTTAATTGGAACAAACTTTCGGTGGCGGTTTGCCGTATTTTGACTGGGTTCAGACACGTTTTGCTGGATTCGGAATACCCCGTAAAAGTGTATTAAATTTTACTATAATGATCACGGGCTATAAATAAATGGCAGATCTTTCAATTGGAATTTTTTCAGCTAATCATTGCCAGATTTTGTGTCATGTCATGGCACTGCGCTTTGCTTACTTGGCCAAGGCTGTTGTCTCCGCCTTCCATTAACAGTTACAAATGGTTAGAGCCCCCCCGATTCTGTTTCTGTTTCAGTTTTAGTTTCAATTTCTGTGTCTGATTTTGCTTCTGGGTTTCTGTGCCCGATGTCAAGTGATTGCATTAATCAAAGCTGCACAAATATGTGCCAAGTCATAAATACAGACGGTATGGGTATGGGCGTGTGTTTATGATGTTTTGCCATTAGAACATGTGATTTGCCAAATCATATAATAAATTTCAATAAAACTCTTGAGAAAAGTGTGATAGATTGGTGTGTATAACGGAGATTGTTGCGAGTCTAGCGTGGCGGCAGAGGCTGGGCGGGCACGCTCCCACTTGAAGATCTACTTCTGCTACTCTGCTCTTCTGCCTAACGGTGCCATACAGCCCCGAAACGGGGCTTATCAATCTCTTTTACAGGCCCCACTCTTCAGGTGGGCTCTATTCTCGAGTGTTATCTGCGCCTATTTCCGTTTAATTAATAAAAGAAAAGAACAAATTCGAACTATCACATCAAATATTGTCTCTTTAGCTCTTATCTCGCGCCTCTCTTCAATTCCCATTTGGGGCGTGGCAATGTTTGACTTGGGACATTTTTTTTTTAACTTGTTTTATGGCTGCCTCCAGCCCAGTGGTGCAAGTGGTGTCTGTGGTGCCAAGTGGCACATGTGACATTTGGTGGGAGTGGTGTCTTGGGTCTCGGATTGGGTGTGAGATTAAAGGCAATTAGTCCGAATTAGCCGGTGGGCCGCCTTTGGCTGGGGCATTAAAGGTTTAGCTTGGTTTACTTTTTCCCTAGATTGGATGGAAACTCTTTTCCTATCGGATCTGGGCGTTTGCTAAGCGATTGAGTCTCGCTGCTCCACGCGTTTCCAGTGCGTTTTCAGCCGAGGGTTGGCAGGCGGGCAGTCGGGCAGTCGGGCAGCGCTTGCAGTTGATTTATAACTCAGGTAAATGTCCTGAAATCTGAACACGCCACAAGTCCCGACGACCCTCGAAAGTTTTTCGAAAAAAAAGGGGTTGTACACAAACACACACACACACACACAGAGAGCAAGCAGTACACTCTCTCACTCACACATTGAGAGGCTGATTTATCCTGACAGTTTGCATGTGTTGGTGCCATAACAAGTTATAATATAAATGGCAATTATTCCAGAAACCGAAGCCGAAACCGAAACCGTATACGATTCGGTGGCAACTTATTTTCTTGGTCGCTCTGTGGCACATTTCATATTTCATGTTTCGAACATATAATTGTGCTTTTTATGTGTGTTTTTGAATTGTTTTTTAAGTGAAATTGCGCTTTGCCTTATAAACGAGGGCTGAATACACACGCACACACACACACACACACACCGTATAGGTATAGGTGTACAACAACTGTGCGAATATAAAGGGAGCGAAACACAGGTCATGGTATTTTCGGATTAATCCTTTTAGGGGGGGAATGGCTTGGTTTATTCTTTGCCTCTTCTTGGCTGCACGTGGTAATGCCAGAAAATGATACACATTTCCGAATTCCAAGTAGAAATCGCATAAAACTCTGAATGAATTTTCAATAAAAGCTGGGAGCGAGCCTTTTATTATTTTACAATTCCATTAAATATCTTCTAGGAATTTCAGTTCTCTTTCACTCATAAAGTCTGGGTCTGGGACTGGGCCCTGCTTATATCTATATTTGTTGGCGCTGAGGAATTTCACATTTTTATGATTATAATTGCGATCCGTCTGGGGAAGTTGAGTCACTTTAGAACTGATATTGAAATTGTACTTACATTGTATATTTCTGGCCGCATTGTAGCCCCCAAATTTAAGGGTATAAATTATAATCCAACATGGGTTTGTGCGTAATATCGTCGGTAGTCGTACATGGAGCTGACGAAATTTGCTTGGCTGCTTTCTGCTGTGGTCGGCGAACAAGACTCCGGGCGGAAATCAAGATTCATATAAGACCGACCGGCTGCATATGATTCCTCGGGCCAGAAGTGCGCCGTCAACAAAAATTTCCACACCGCAAAAAAATGCAATTCGAATCCGAGCGGCAATTTTCAATGCACCTTATTTTATGTTATTTAATTTCTTGGAATTTTTTACTGCTGCACTTTATGTTATGTACAATATTTTTGCGTTGATTTGCGTACTTATTATTCCGATTAACAATATGTACATATATTCATTTATTGATATTGCACTTGCGACAGCGACACGACAACTTTTGTATTTTATTCGAATTTCTTTTTGTGTGGCACAAAATTTTAACTTTTGTGTGAATTTTCCTCTTGTATTTCCTCTTGGCACTGGCACTATTTTTAATTGTTTTCCAATTTTCGTTTGGCTGTGTCCGATTTTTAAAACAAAATCAGTTAATCCAATCAGCTTATCGTTTCACATAGAATGCACTGTTTCACCTCTTGCTAATTAATCTGGCTAATTAATCATTTGTTTCTCACTTTAATTGATTTGTTTCTGTTGCATTCAATTCGGCTTGGTGGGCTTTTTTTTCAAAAATAGCTTCCACCACACATTTCGATCGCACGGTATTTTTTACTTCGAGCTACGAAAAGAACAGTCTGGTTTGGTGGATATTTAGACATATATCTTTCTTTTTTGTTTTGTTTGATAATATACTCTTGGGGTTTTTGTTTTATTATTTTTGCGAAAATATTAACATGTATTTTTTTTTTTGGGATATATCAACGGACTTATTTTTCCTTTCTGAGTTTCGAAAAAAATGCGACACTCTTTTCTCCGTTTCGTTTTCCGCGCCCGCCCCGAAAGATTGAGCGGCAAATTCGTTCTTTCAAATATTGCCCGCCTGGTGCTTGACAATGTTGCTCGGCAGCATGTGGCTAGAGAACATGCTGCCGGCAACGGCATGTTTCAGCAGCATGTTGTGCAGGCATGTGCGATAAAATGTATCCATACTTTTTAGGCTCGATACAATATATCGCAATGGAACTAGAAGTAGTTTAAATATGTAAAAGGGCTCAATAATAATAAAATGAATATGCAAAATTGTTTCCCTTCCCGAGGAGACAATGCTGCAGTTTTTTTTTTTTATTCTTTATTCCTTATTTTCCTTTAATATGGCATTAATTGTCAAAGCAAAAACTTCTTTATTTATTCTTTACTTGGTCATTTGAAAAACCGCGCGCTTATCGATATTAAGATAGTTGCATACGATATATCGCCGTTCGGTTCGATACAATTGTTGCAATGGATGTTGCCAAGAATCACAGCAACATTGATAATAAAACATCTTAGCAACAGAATTTATTTATTTTATTTTATTTCTTGAATTTAATATTTTCACATATCACCCTAATATTTTATTACTTACAGCTGCTGCAAAAAAAAAAACTTCACCATGATACTAATTTTTCTTTAATAAGGGTTATTGTTAGAAAAAAAAAAGATTAAAATCTTTTAAAATGAATATGCATATATAAAACAAATGAAAATATTTGTGTGATAGATGGATGTTCGTTAGGGCTGGAAATCTGTTCGAACCATTCAATTCCACCGAAGGAAACGTTTCTTGGGAATAGGACGGCACTTATGACAGGGTTTTTGTGTAAGAACAGAATGGATGGACTTGTGTATGGAATTCTCTGGGAATCTAGGTCACCCCGCTAGATAATGATCTATGCGCCAGCACCTGCTCCACTTTCGAAAACAAGTCACCCACCCACTCTCACAGACCAGACCCCATTCACATGGGTGGGTTAGCACCGGGAATGCCAGACGTCTGTATTGGGCAAGGTCCAGTTCGCCAGGCCATTAGCAAAGTTGCCGCTGCATTTTTGATATTGATCGATTAGGCCAGACCGTTGTATCAGGCACTTTTATTGATCATGCTGTAAATCAAATGTACATATGTATGTATGTACATACATGTGTATGTATGTATGTGTTTGTTGCCAACGACCCAAAAAACAAGAATCATACAAGAAATTACGCGCAAGTTAGCGACCAATTGAGATTACATTAAGCATTATTTCGCTGGCTTATCGGGGCACCTCCAACTGGATAATCCTGGAGCACAGGCACCTCTATTCGCAATCTAAGACGAATGAAAGATCTGTCAAAGCAGACCGAAACGACCTTACGCTATCGGCGGGGCACAAAAGCGAAGTTCCCCGAAAACGCGAGAACCGTACGACTATTTTTGTGGACTTTGGTCGTGTACCAATTTTCAATTAACTCGATACCTAGATAACTGCACAAGTTTTGTGATAGGTTCAATTAAAAGCACACACAAACACCAAACTGGGAGAATTTCCCTCCGGCCATGAATGGAATCCAGTAGCGTTGCCCTCCCTTATCACAATAGCACACAAAGACACCAAAAATTCATCAATCAGGTATTTTGTTTACGCAAATCTGTGACGCATCGCATCACATCATTTCATATCATTTAAAGGGGCGCAAGAATACCAAAGAATTCCACTGAAATGTTTGTATAATGGCTGACATTACTTGGCAAAAATTGGCTGGTAGTTTATAGCATAGGGCTTTGCTTTACAGGTTCATAAACATGATGAAATTGATAGTGCGGCTGGTATCCCATATCCCAACATTTGGTACGACTCGAAAGCGTAAAATTGATTTCAAATTGAGTTGGAACCAAACCAATCTCTTAACAGTTCCAACCTCTCTGTTAGAAGATGTCCGTTCCAACATGCTGCAACTGTTAGCTCTCAGGCAAGCAGTGCGGGAGTTCTGTTAATAGTTTGAGACTTCTGTTTTTTCTTCTATTTGCAATGATGATTGTTTTTGCTAGTTAATTTTGATAAATACTTTTTCAATTGTTTACTTAGTTCCATATAAACAGAACACTTTCCACCCTAATGTTAAGCCAGAGTCCAACTTTTTTATTGAAAGGAAAGCTCAAATTTGACTTTAACGGAAAGTTAATGAAGATTTATGAGGCAGCTTGGCGAATTCGGCAACAATGGCCAGCCAGAAGAAAATTAGCAACTGATAAGGACAGTGATAAATTAATCAAGCGAATGAGATTGATGCACTTTCGCCAAATCAATGGCCAAATTCCTCTAGACAGTCTCGAGTGCTTTGTGCAAACACATTAATTGATAGCAGCTAAAGCGTGTGAACACAACTCTATCTCATTAAATAAACAAACATTTACGTTCTTCTTTTTTTCAGTTTCTTTACGTAACCTCCAGTTGAAGGTAAGTGTAAGGTAGGGGAATAATCGAATCCAACCGCACATTTTTTTGGCTCAATAGATGATCCGGAGCCAGGAATTCCGAGTAGTCATAACTGTGCAATAATTCGAAGGATTCTTATTGTGATTCAACTCTGCTGGGCTGCATGCCGTTCGGTCGGCCCAGCAGGACGTGTCGGCGAAATGGAAATCTTGCTGGCGCCACGTCGCGTCCGGGGCACAAACAGTACGAGTATTGTGGAAAATGGAAAAATGGCAAAAGAAAAAGGAAATATGTGTGAAATGTTCACGGGCCAAACAAAGGCAAAAAGAATACAAATTCTAGTATTCTAGTATTTACGGGTCGAGTCGAGTGAAGTCGGAGTCAGTGCCGTGTCATGTCAGGTGTCCTCCGTCTCCCCTGTGTGTGTGTCCTGTGTGTGTGGCACATTGACAACTTAATTTTGGTTCCTTTTCCCAGCAAAATGCTGTGCCACTGATTTATGACTCTGTGGGTGTCCTTCTCCTCAGAAGTCTTGTCATATCTGATGCAAATGTGTCACACTCACGACACCAGCGAAAGAGTGTCTCCACGTCTGCCCCCTCAGTCCTCACACCGCCCCTGAACCCCACCGCAGTGCAGTGTGCAGTGCCGTAGCGTAGGGAAAATAAAAACCCTGAGAAATATTTTAATTAAAATTCACTGCCCCAAAAAGAGCAACGAAACGAAACTACCAAAACCGCAGCCCCAGACAGGATAAACCCCAGAGCCAACCATCCAGCCAGCCACCAACAGCCGCCGCCTGATCTCAACTGATAAACGCGAAAACCAACAGAAACAGCAAAAACAACAACAGGCCGAAAGGTAAGCCAAACGGCAACGGTGGGCGTTGGTACAAAAAAAAAAGAAAAAGAAAACGATCACCAGAAATAAAACACAAAGGCAGCAAATGCGAGGTATGCAAAGATTTCAGATTCACGAACCTCGGATACCCATGAAAATAATTTTGGAATTGCAAATGAATAATTCAAAGCCTGTTAAATATCCTGCTAAATGGTTTACAACTAATATTAAAATCAATATTAAATCCATGTTCAATCATCTCTCTGCATATTATGAAATATCCAGAACTGATCATACCCAGAGTGGGTTCTTCAAGGGTATGAAAGCCAGAGCGAACCCTGCGTTTCGTTCCAAGGAACTGTAAGCGATTGTCTGGATGGCGATGAGCCTGTGAGAGTTCACTTTTCAACGCCGATGGTGTTGCTGATGGAAGCTGTTGGGGGGACAATGGCAGGCTGGCAGGCTGGCAGACTGGGACTGCGACTACACTTGCAGTCATCAGAGCACATGATCAATCGATGGATACCCGTGCCAGTGCCTCCAGGGAGGGTACCGTCCCCCCAATTTACCGCTGTCCATATCGCACGCATCTTTATTGTCTCGGTTCTGTGTTTGGTTTTCGTTTCGTGTGCAGCAAATTCAATTAAACAAACAATGCGCATGCGCAATGAATTTTCGGGCTGGAAACCCTTCTGGCAGTTGCTTTAATTACCCAAAGCGACCCGTATACGAAGCGGAGCGGGTCAGGCCAACTGTCGGACAGCATTTGGTCATCGAAATTCGCTCTGCTAACAAGAGCTTGTTAATGAATATGTAGACAACCCCTGGCACCCCTTTCTCAATGAAGTACACTTTCCGTTAATTTATGCGTTGTGCCCCATTGGGCATTCCCATTGATAGCATTGAGTGAAAGTGATCGGAGAGACTTCTGTTCACATTACGCGTGGCTGACTCCTTCGGGAGGGTTGCACGAAGCAGCCTACCAGGAGACCTTCTATCTTCTACAGATCCTTGCTACCGATTGACGAAGAGACAAAATACTGTACACGATCACGGACCTCAAACAATTGCTGATCTGCTGTGATAACAATGATTAGCCACCCCTATGGCATATGGGGATTATAGTTGCAAAGGGCTGCTAATCATTATTCAGGGAATAATACGAATTATTATTGTGTGACGAACACGTGTAAGTTTCGCGGTGTTTGGGCAAGAAATTAACATTGTCGACATCTGCGACTGCGTGTGAGGAGTCCCGCAAAGGGAAAATATTGGACAGAGATTTACATACGAGTACGCCTTAAATTTATGCGTGTCAATATCAAAGTCAAAAATGTATGCGGATTGGCACTCAAACAAAGCGAGTCGAAAATAGCCATCAATGGCCAAATCTGAATCTGACAATAATGAGTAAATAAATGTTTTCGTTTTTGTTCGGTTGCCAAAAATAATGGCCAGGAAATTAGTAAGACAAATATTGGTAATGGCCAGATAATACATATCCAAGCGTGCGGCGTGTGCGTTCCAAACTTGGTCAAAACGTGGACGAGCTTGGAGTAGATATTCCTTTACTGGTTGTGGTTGCTTTTTTTTGGAGCGACTGGCGCCATTCATTCGGTGTGCAATCTGTGGCCCGATACTCGTATTTATGACAATTTACGACTTCTGTGAATCCAGGCCCCATCAAATCGATCTGTGCGCCTTCGCTTCAATATTTTCGCATCGAATTAACGCTCTTTTTGGCGAAAAGGTTAAGGCCAAGGCGAAAAGGTTAATGTGTTTCCAAATGCCCTGCTAATTGACGAGCGGTACTCCAGCAAACAAAGGGTTTGGGGCTGTCGGAATAACCCATAGAGCAAGAGATGATGATCAGATGATTAAATATACATATAAGTGAGTTGCTGCCATTGCTAAGCATTTCTTTTCTCTTTACTAATGATATGTATGAATAGATTATGTTTACTTCTGAAACAAGCCCCATAAATGTTGCTCCGAAACAGTATGCATTTGATTGGACCTCGCCCAACAGATCGCCACAGATCGCCACAGATCGAAATGCCAGAGATCTCTATATTCCCGCATCTAAATATTTATATTTTTGTATCCATTAGCTTACTAGTCGCTTCATTACATGGCCATTAAGGGACAGATGCCACCAGACCGTGTCGATTATGATGGCAAACATGTCTATCGGCTCTTGTAATTTGATGCGCAATAAATTTGCGTTTCCCACCAGGTGAGGAGCAGGAAAATATACACACAAAAACAATAATAATATGTACTACCAATCGGATGGGCCAACGCCAAAGCCAACGCCAAAGCAAAAGCAAAAGCAAAACATTTTCATTAGGCGGACGCATGACACCCACAACGGAGGCGATGCTATTTGCATGCTCATAACAAGCGGGCTCATAATTCATTGGCCCAACAGCAGCCCAACAGCAGAGTCTCTGGGCCAGAGGTCTTTCGAGGCAGCGGCAGCTGCTGCTCTAGGCCAAGAAAAGTTGAAATGCCGCTGAATGAAATATTTCTGTGGCTTTGCCCAACTAATTTGCGGCTGTGTGCGAAGTGCCAATGGCCAAAAGCCATCAGATCCAATCTCCTCTACTCGTGTGATAAAAACGTACGAACTAAAAAAAAAACCAAAAAAAAGATGCCGCAGCTGACAAATTTCGCGCTCCCGCCAACTCCTCTTAAAAATAAAATTAGAAAAAAAAGTTAAGTATTTACTTTTGCCATTTTGGAGCTCAAATGTTCATGCCATTGATTTAATTTCGATGCGCACTTGTAGATGTCAGAGGCAGAGAGGGCGGGGTGATGCCTCCACCGATTTGCATTCCTCAACTAATTAGTACAGTCTGATGACTGCCATGGGAATTTCATTTGGCGATTATTTGCAGCTCAGCTAATTAGCGGCAATAATAAACAGACAAAATGAAGAAAAGCTATAGCCAAATATAACAATATTTGTGTGAAATTCTCCAAACAGGATGTAAATAAAGCCTCCAGACGCGCCACACTTGGTGGGGGTGGTGGTGGGGTGGTTTAGATGGGCATATGCCCCAACGATAATGATGATCTTTCAGCACCCGAATCCGCCCTCACCTGGCAAACTAATCAAGAATGGACAGCCAGTTAGCCAGCTAACTGCCTGGGGTCCCTGGGCTTTGCGGGGCAATCAAGTGAGAAAATTAAAATTACATGACCATGGGTTTCGGTGCCGGTGCCGGTGATCGCCGCAGAGCGGCTTATCCATGCAGTGGCCCGCATTTAAAGGTTCATAACTTCCAAGTCAATTACGCGCTGCATGCGATGCCGTTGCCGTTGCCGATGCCAATGCCAATGCCAATGCCGAGCCTGCTGCGAGACTCTCCAGAGATTCCTGGGATGTGAATTAGAGAAATTGCACGCTCAAGTGGAAGAGAGGACCTCAAGTCTGGCCTGGCCTGGCCTGTTCTGACTGACATAACTCACGAGTGGCAGAGAGCCAAGCCAGTGCCAGTGCCAGACACACAGACACACGGATACAGACAGAGTTGCAGCCTCCGCATAAACCGCTGCTCGGTTGCAGGTGAACTAGACAAGCAGGGGGCAGCCTCGAGAGCACTCCACAAATAAAGGGACTACTGTGGGAATCGTACCGATCTTGCCACAACCAAATAGAACAGAAGAGAACAGAACAGAACAGAACAGAAAAGAACAGCATCAGCGAATTAATTTGTGACGCGCGCGCTCCACACAGCTCCTCCAATCTCCATCTACATCTGCTGGCAGTCAGTTAGTCAGTCCCCATTCCCCAGCTCCCAGTACCCAGTACCCAGTCCCCAGTTACCAGTTGCATTTGTGGATCCTCCGCCTGGAGGCAATTTACTCTCAGAGCTCTGTGCACGCTGAGGTAGCCCCAACTCGTGACTGCAGCACGGCACAGTGCTTTGAACTTTTCTGAAATCTTTAATGGCATACCAAAAGAAGTTTCCTAAAACTTGATGCATCAGCTCTAAACCCTGCTTTTTAGTTACAATTTTTTATTGGCTTGTGGCCCACTGTGCGCGTAGCTGCGTCTTCGTCTTCGTCATCGTCGTGTGGCAAGTGGCTGCTTGACTGCTGTTGCAAGCGCAGCTTGGGCCTCCTTTTGGCTGCTGCGTCTTCGGCCTCCTCTTGCGTGGCTGCAGCTTCTTCTTTTGGGGGCATCTTGGCGGCTTTGGCGCTGGTGTCAAACGTTTTGTAATCTGTCACGTCGCATCGTTTTAATATTTCTGCGCTCATGGCCCGGCTACGGGGAAATGCACTCGGTTGCGTGTAAAAATAGGCGTAACCCTTTGGTATTTATGGTCTGGTAGTACGAGTAGTAGATGGGTCCGACCAACCGACCAGACTGGCGCAGACTGTGGAGTGGAGTAGGAGTAGGAGTACGTCCAGGAGGGCGCTCCCTGGCTGCTTTGTTTGGTTTTCAGCAGCCGAGAGCCGCCTGGGGGCCTTGGCAGCAGCAGGTTCAAGTGCTTCGCATTGCATTTGTTTCTGCAGCTCCAGCTCCAGCTCTTTTATTATCTAAATCATTATTAGTTTGACCTTCAGCCCCGGGGTGGACTGCGGCTGCGGCTGCGGCATCTGTGGCAGCTCGTGCAAGCTGTTTTCTTATCTTATTAATTATTTGCTCTTTATTGCAACTGGAATGGGGTTCCTCTCTCTCTCTCTCTCTCTCTGGACTACTGTGCGTATGACTCATCAGTGGAATGGAATTTTGAAGGGAATTGAGATTAAGGAAATTATAAATTGCAGAGACTCAGCAGAAGGCAGAAAATCAGTATTATTTTAATTGGTAGAATCATTAAATATTATACAAATAAATGGTAAGCAAGCAGAAGAAATAAAGGAAACACCTTCAGGGAAGGAACCCGGAAAGATGGATTGACAGATCGTTCAACGCATTCCGTTATATTTGCGGTAATATGTAATTATCAACTCGACTAATTACCACTTCTCCCTGAAGACCTCCCGTGCATTGACCTACTAAGGAATTAATTTTGTAAATTTCCACCTTCGAATCTGATTCCCACAGGGGGAATTCGTCCTCGTCTGTGCCTTCAGCACGCATATCAGCGCGTAATTAGCTAACCCTACTCAAGAGCCATAACCGGGGGCCCAGCCATGCGAATGCGCCAGTCGCAGTAGTTAGCCAATGCAGCGCCTGACAGCCGTTAATCAGGCGCCACAAATCAGCAACCGGAAGAGACAGTAGCGGCAGAGACCGATGAGCCGATGAGCCGAGGAGCCTCTTAGTCAAGCGCTCCCTCTGATTGGACGCTCCGGCATGTTGGTGTTGGGGTCTCTATTTTTAGCTGCGCTCACTGGCAGACCAGACCCAAAATGGCGCTATTTGGGCCCAAGACATAGGTGCAGCTCCCCATGACTTTTCCGTTGTCTCTGCGCGAAAATATTGACACAGTCTCCAGCACTTTTAGGCGGGCATTCCAATTGGGTGTCGTAAGGGCAAGGGAGGATGGAAAATTTACATTTGCATAGGCGTGAGAATGATTAAGCTAAATACCAGCGCCTGCCCCCCATTTACGCATTGGTCGGGGGCGGGGGGGTGTATCATCTGTATGGTGTGTGGGTGGCGTCGAGTGTTAATTGCCCCAGACTCAATCAGATGGAATGGAATATTTATGAGAGGCTTGGGCAATCGCTTAGACAAAGTCTGGTGTCTGGTATCTAATGTCCGTGCTAATTGAATCTGACTCTAACTCTGAATCTGTGTGTGAATGTGAAACTAGCCAAAGACCCAAACTACTTACTAAAAAGCGGAAGCTAACGAGACTTTTGGGTAATGGAATCTGATCTGATCATTTCTCAATGTCCTTTGCTTTGTCATTTATTTTCCATTAAACTGCAACATCTTTACCATTTCAGATGATCCTGCAGCAATCATGTCCAACTCTACTGCTCTTCCTGATCACTCAGGGGGACTTAATCGGAAGCGTGGAACTAACCCATATTATAGACACGCTGAACGATCATCTGCGCATCTCCACGAACATTTTATACTGCAACGAGCGCTCTAAGCTGATTAATTACGAGTCCGAATACCTGCGGCAAGCGGAGATCACACGTCTGATCTACACCTCAGCGGCGGCCATCAACTCATCCCATCTACAGCTTCACATAGGACACGGCAGCCAGCTGTTTATTGTGTTCACCACTGAGCCACCATACGATCTATTTCCTGTGCTCGATCTACACTTTCAGAATGCCGACTTTCTGATCGTAATAGACAAATCGATTGATCTGGACACGTGGCTGGCCTACGTGCAATACGCCTTTGAGCTGGGCTATGTCCGGCTGTTGCTTTACACCACCCCCAATGGTGCAGTCTATGGGAAAATGCTGTTTCCCGTTGTTCGGATAGTCCCAGCCACTGTGGAGCAGTACCTGCACATGAGGGACACCCTCAAGGATCTGCACGGCTATCCGGTCCGCGTGGCTGCCTATAAGAATGTGCCGCGCAGCTTCATGTACCTGAATTCTTGGGGCAGGATGATCTACGCGGGCTTCTACATGCGGTTCGTGCGCGCCTTTCTGCACTCACGGAATGCCACCTTCGTGCCCGTACACACGCCCAACGATTCGCCGGGCAACTGTACCCTCGCGCTGAAAAACGAAATCGGTCGACCTGTGCGCCGATTCTCTGGCAGCCAATCAGGAAATGTTCAGCCTCACGTATGGCTTTCGGATAGCCTATGCCAATGTGATGGTGGCCCACGCAAAGCCTCTGCTCTCGTACCGCTACTTGGAGGCGCCGTTCCAGAACAGTGTCTGGATGTGCCTGGTGATCTATGTTCTGCTGATCGTGAGTTTCCTCAGCTGCATACACTGGCAGCAGCACGGCCGATGGGACTTTAGCAAGTATCTGCTGGAGGTGTTCAGTTCGCTGCTCTTCAGCGGCTTCAATCTGCGCTCGATACGGGGACGAGAGCGCTATATACTCTTTGGAGTGATCTTCATGACCGGCTTTGTGTACTCCACCATGTACCTGGGCCTGCTGAAGAGCATGCTCATTTCGGAAGTGTTCGAGCCACAGATCAACACCTTCGAGCAGCTGGTGGCGAGTAACATCACCCTGCTGGTGGACCCGTACGATCGCATTCTGTTCGCCAAGTACAATATGCCGGAGGTGCTGTGGTCCGTTGTCCAGACGGTGTCGTTTGAAACGTTGCTGCACCATCGAAATCGCTTCGACCAAAGCTACGCCTACGTCCTCTTCACAGATCGAATGGCACTGTACGAAACGGCACAGCTATTTCTGCGGCATCCGCGTCTCCGTCGGATCCCCATTAACTTTGCATTCCTCTTCACCGGCATTCCCATGCGCAAGAAATGGTTCCTCAAGGAGCATCTGAGCCGCGCGTGGTACCATTCGTTTGAGAGCGGACTTACGCGGAAACTGGCGGTGGAGGCCAACAACGAGGCGATGAGCGTGGGCCACTTGCATTACCTCATCACGGAGCACATGGAGGCGAAGCCGCTGGATTTGGATTATTTCGTTATGCCAACAATCGCCCTGCTCCTGGGCTGTGGCCTGGCCATCATCAGTTTTGTCATCGAGTTGACGGCCTGGCGCATGTGCGGCTCCCGAGTGCGCAGATGTTGAAGATGGTGGCAGAGAGGCCTTCTACTACTTTTCCATGGCGTGATGTTGATTGATTGATTGATGCACTCTTGTTGTTGTTACTGTTACTGTTACTGTTGTTGTTGTTTCAGCTCATTCTCGTTGGTTAAGCACAGCATTTATGTAATTTCTTATGTATTTCTTGCAAATAAACCCAAAAATATCAGCAATTTCTGTTCTTTCCCAGAGAGTTTTACGGCTAAGGGTTACCCTATCTTATGTATAGTTACGTATGCCACATCCTGGGGCATATGCCATCTTTTTCAGTCCGAAAGATCAATCGAAAGGAGTCTCTTGCTGTGCTCTTGAAGTCTTGCGTGGGCGTTGCATCTTTTTCCTTCTGTCAGAGCCCTCAGCCATCAGAGCAGGGGACTGCAGAGTAGAACCAATATCATCTACTCGAAGAACTCCCAGCCCAACGATCTGTATGACGAAATCCGTCGCACTGTCAGCCATATTCCCAGCATTCCTTTCAGCGGCAATGTCAGCCAGTTCCTCCCACCGGAAGGAATGGTGTCCAAGCCGCTGCCGGTAGTACGCCCTCCGCCGGGCGTTCGAATTCTGAAACGCTTCGGGCATTTGCCGACGGAGATGCACGAGGCTGACTATCTGCTGGTGGCTTGGCAGGCTGGGCCTGCTCCCGGGGCTGGAGAGAGGTGTGGAGAGAGCCTTTCCCCACCAGCAACTGGGCAGGACGAATGGCCGATGTTGCCAACAGACAGACGATCCATCGGATCCGAGGAGCATCAGGCCAAGCCACTGGTTTTGGAGTACTTTGCCATGCCCCTCAGGTGTCAGCTCAGGTGGACAGGCGCTGACAAGGTAGCTGGTAGCTCGTAGCTGGCTCGTAACAAATGTCTATTTCGACTTAAACTTTATTTTCAGTTTTTCTCTGGCTTACTCCCCCTACCGAGAACCATTCCATTAACAGAGCATAAAAGCAACCCCCTGGTCGTGGTCCTGGTCGTGGTCCTAGTCCCTTTTTGACTGCCGCTTCAAAATAAATAGCACTCGAGATATTTCCAAAACATTTGCCAGCCAAGTTGCCGTCCCCCCCCCAAGAGCAATTTGCCCCATTGTGGGACGAGCGCCTGCAGGCATGCAACCCGAATGATAACACACCCACATGTGGCAGGGTGGGACACTGGCAGGGCATTAGATGGGATGTAGATGCTGACTTGCACAAATATTTGACGAAAAAAAATGAAAAAAAAAGAAACCGAAAGATGTTGTTGGGGGTGGAGATTGGAGAGTGGAGAGTGGACCGTGGACTGCACCGTATCCAGATGTCATGTCTGGGGGCGGCTGAGTGGGTGAGTTTCGTTTCTCAAGCCATTTGGCATTCCCCTCAAGGCCCTTCCCCCATTTTAAAGTTCGTTGACACTCGCCTTGTGGGTTGGCACATTTTTCGTGTGCCGCTGTGGCGCCATTAAGTATGCAGCAGAAATGTGGCGACAATAAAGTTTATGCTCCGGCGCCATAGCCAAAAAAGAAGTATAAAAAGATTGCATAAAATAGAATAAATTGATGGCGTGGCATGGCCTGTGTGGACTGTGTGCATTTTGTGTGGGCAGGCGACAGTTACAGCTGCAGATAAACCCAGAGATGATCATCGGAGCCATCAGCCATCAGCAATTGATGGGATGGCCCTGTATGGCCCATGTAGTACATGTCCATGTCCCAGTGATACTCCTCCCACCAGCGACACACATTTCACACGACGACGACGACGCTGCGAACCCGTTCGGCTGGAGTCCTCGCCTTAATGATGGGGCGGGCTGCTGGGTCATGTGCGTGCCTCGCATCCATATCTAAAAGGGCCACGACGATAAACTCTCGCCCTTCATTCGCTTTAATTGCTGCGATTCGTGGGTTTTCATCGCGACTCAAATCGATTTCATCTGCAGATTCCAGTGCCAGTGACTGCAGCCCACGACTCCTGACTCCGGACTACCCCCGCCCCGATCCCAATCGGCTTTAAAGTAAACATTTGTTTTATCTGGGGGCGGCTTTTAATTAAGATTGCGTTCGCCGATAAATGGCAAGTGTGGCAATACCCATGCCCCATCCCCACCCCCTCCCCCTCCGCGTAACCGGAATTGCATTTCAATTGAGGGTGGGTTGGACTTAATCGAAGCGCATTTCAACATATCGATTTATATGCGCCCCGTCTGCCAAAAGATACATAAGATATCCTCCGGTAAAGTCATACGTATGCAGCCGTGCCTTTGGCCCCTAAAATATCTCAGTGTCTCATCCCAGCTTTCCTGTCGATATTGTTCGTTGCAAAAATATTCAGATTTCAGCTGAATTGGACCCTTCAGCCGTTTTTGTGACCCAATCCGTCTGCTCGCTTATCAGCCAGACAGCGGCAAACAAAAGGCTCTCGGACAACAATTGAGTTCTCAGTCCTCAGTCCGTCCCCCCCCAGTGGCTGCATTTGCAGTGATATCCCGATTTACCTGCTGCCCACAGGTCCCACAGGTACTACCCATTGTTTGTCACTGGCTAATTGAAATGGCCGAATGATTGTGGCTGCCTCATTGGTTGCCACGTTCATGCCGCACATTCGGTGGGGGCACAGTTAAACACTATTATTTAAATCAATGGCCGCGCTTCTCTCTGACCGCGCATATGAGCGGGCAATTTATGTGCCATGCCTAATTGTGTCCGCTGCGAACTTCAAAGTGGAGTTAACTCGCGACTCGCGAGTCTGCGGCCGGAGCTGGAGCTGCAGCTGGAGCTGGCGTTGCCTTGGAATGCAATTATCGCGCTCCAAGTTATGCTAAGATAAATGGGCACCCGCCATCCAGCCAGTGGAAATTGGCCACACTTTCCACACGTTCCCCCGCCCCGAACAGTCCGATGCTCTGGCCATAAACTAAATATAAAAAAAGCTACAAAATATGTAAGGAACCTGACAATTGGCAATTTTTGGTTGATTTTGCAATTTATGGCAGCCAAAGGGAGTATGCGGCTGGGGCGGGGCCGGGTGTGTGTCATTGTCGGCATGACCAAAAGACCCATATACCGATCAGTGGACCCCCAAGGGAGATGGAAAGAGAGATAGAGAGAGAGAGAGGAGACATTTAGAATCAGATAGTTGGAGAGCTAATGCTATGATATTTTTATTATACAAGGGCATTGCATTGTGCATACGCATTAAGTACTCGAGACATCTGAAGAGAAGGGAAATATAATAATTTTGTAGCACCCCAGCTACGGCCTGTTCCTGTTAACCACATTCAAAAACATTGAGATTATACGCAGTTTAATTACTAATCAGATGAATATCTTTGCAGACCATTGACCATCCCCTTCAGCGTTTGATGGCACTTTCCCTTTATGGCTTGGCCAACTCTTTGGGTCAGTCAGATGCTAAAAATAAAGAGCGAAACAAAAAAGGAAGAGGGAAGCAGGCACGACCAAACGAAACGCTGTCCAATTAAGCGCAACAAACAACTTTACGCCACATGCCACACTGGGCGTTTATCGTTTCGGCCAGATCAGATCCGATACGATACCGATACGATCTCAGATCCTCGACCAGACACTGCCTCGACTGCCTCGACTGCCTGCCTGCCTGTCTACCCCAGCCTTTTCCATGCGAGCCATTGTAATGGCCAGCGATTTGTCGCTGTCCGAGCCTCGCGGTCCATTGGCTATAATGACAATCGTTGATCGTGCGGCCGATAAGAAATTGTCGGCCGGGACCCGAGGGGCAACGATGCGACAGCAGCCACATTTATGCTAATAAGTTGACATTTGACCACCATGACGAAATAATGAAACGATCAGGAGCCGTCAATATGACAGGTACTCGTGCCCCCAGGCAGTGCAGTGCCGGGCCACACTACCATGGGAGTCACACACACACATCTAAAGCCAGCAGAAATTTTTACTTGTGGGTTTACTACACATTCATTAAACTCTCAAAGCTTACAAGGTTCACTTACTATAATTTCTATCGTTTAATTCTATAATTAATTTTTGCTTACGAATATTATCCATACACTTTGGCCGCTTTTGTTGTGGGCTGTGTTGTGTATGTGCCACTGTGCGGACGTTCTTGACATTTGCCTTGACACAGGAGCAGAGCCGCTGGGCTCCAGGCAGGGGGCTCCACTGGTCACTAATTTCCAGGAATTTCACGCGCTCTCCTCGCTTATCGCAGCCAAATGCAAATTTTTAACCGGCTCTTATTGTATCTTCACACGATCTGTGCCGACTGCTTGTTAACTACCATTATGGCCAGCGGGCACCCGCGTGCGCCTTACTGCAGCCCTGCCCCCTCCTATCCATGTTGCAAATGAATTTTAATTGTTGTTCATGCTGTGGCGGTGGTGTAGTTCTGGTTGCTCTGGTTACTCTGGTGGTCTGCTGCGGGGTCTACATATTTTTACCAATAATTTACAAATTGGTTAGTCATTGAAAATGTTTGTAACGGGATGAATGGGCATAGGGAAGGAAAGTGGCTGAAGCTGCAGATGGCTTAAGAAATCAGTCGTCTCGATTAAAGTGGATGTGTCGATTGGTCCGCCCTTGATAATTATATGGTTGATTACGCGTTTGGTATCTATTGTTGTGGCCCCTGAAATCGTGTTCGTTTCTCGACTGGTAATGGCTCTGGCGCCAGTTGTTGCTGTGATTGGAGCCATTCCAATGTGGCTTGTTCCATTCAGGATCCTCTCCACTTCCATTTCTTGTACTTTTCCACTCCGAATTCTTGTTACGGAAATCTCTGTGATATCCATTGTCATTTGTTTGCTGACGATCCTCATGCTGGGGTCGTTGCCAATGCGTGAGGCGATCTCTGCTCCTATCCTGATATTGCTGACGGCCCCGTTGCTGCCATCCATTGTCGCTCGACCGATAGCGATCCTCTGGCTGATGGCGACCTCTGCTATGGTCGCGGTAGCCGTTGTTGCTGTCCCTGTTGCTGCTCCAATTGTTGTGCCAGCTACTCTGACGCGAATCATCTACGTTGCTGTCATAGGCTCCTGTAATTGCAGTCAGTCGTTGGATTCTTCTTCTACTACTGCCACTGCTATACTTACTCTGGTTGTCTCTTTGCTGATAGCGTCTCTCCGGCTGATGCTTCTGCTGCTGATACTGCTGCTGATGCTGCTGCTGCTTATACTGCGGCTGCTGCTGAAACTCTTGCTGTCGTCTGGCTGCATCTTCTCTCCAGTTGCGCCGGCTTGGCTCCTCACTCGACTCCTTGTTCACATCCGCTTCCAGTTTTTCCAGGCGTCGCAGGGAGCTCAGGTAGTTTTCGCGCTCAATCTTGTGGCCACGTGCCGCAGCAACGCCTGCAATTGAGGGATTGGGGTTAATTATTCAGTGGATGAGCTCGCCGACTGTTGATTCCACGCACTCTCGATGGCCTCCAGGGGTGACTTGTTCAGCATGGTTATCATGAAGTAGCAGATCAAGTATCCAGTCCGATTCACGCCGTGTGTACAGTGGACTCCGATCAGCTTATCTGAGGAGGAGAAGGAGTAGGGAGAAAGCATTCAGATGTAGTAGTGTAGTGGGCATGCCGCATGAGCCGCATGAGCCGCATGGGCCGCATGAGCCGCATGAGCCGCATGTTGTCGCAAATTGCTACAAATTTCAAAAGTGAACACGGCCACAGGAATGCGCTCTGAGCTCAGTGCTCTTCTGCTCTCCTGCTCCACACCGACACCCACACCCACGCAGTCGAGAGAAACCGGCCTGCCAATTTGGCATAAAAGCAGAAGCAACCCGGGCTAAATCTAGAAAACAGCGCGCACTGCCAATAATAACATTGGCAATAAATTTCACAAAAACATGTCAGCAGGAGGGTTTGGACGCGGGAGGGGGAAATGCGCGGCAGACAACCCACCAGGTCGCGCGGTGGTTTTGGCTTTGTGCACTATGCGGGTGCGGTGCCCACCCGGGGGCGGGCGGTCGGTCATTGCCAGTCGGAGAGCTAGCTAGCTGCCTGCCAGTCGAAGAGTACGTCATGTTTGGCTTGCATTTAAGCCAACCCACAGACAAAATAAAGTTACGACAACGGCAATGGGCAATGCGAATGGCAATGTGGGGATCAGGAACGAGACCAAGCAGAAGACAGAGACAATTGCGCATATCCCTGTCGCACAGTGGGAAGATACAGAGAGAGAGAGAGAGAGAGCGAGATAGCTCTGTAGATAGTTTCTAGTAGTCTTGAAAAAATTCCACTAATATACTGGTTCGTACCACTGTAATCAGACATCGACTGGTTGCCCTGTTCCACTGGCTTTGACTGTTGACAAGTCGCGACCACCTTGAATTTGACTTATTTCGCTGATTTGTTTCGTTGTAAATTCGTTGGCAGTCTTAGCGTATTTATTTATTGTTTGCTCAGCGGCGCCAGATCGGGTTTTAATTATGCCACAGCTGAGTGCGGTCTGCTGGCAGAAGAAGCTCCAAGCTGAGACCGAATCGGTTAATGCATTCTGGCTAACATATCTGCATTGTGCCCAAGCTGTTCGCACATACATTAGCGCCAGATCAAGGATTTGTATGCACGCCCCCAGCCGCAAGATCTGCACAAGAATGGGCCAATGGTAGCGGAACTTTGGATACGAAAAATATTACATTCCCTCTCAACTTTAAAGGCTGCAGACTCCAGTCCTCTCTTGCCATTTCTTTAGTTATGAAAATTTAAATTAAATGCGGTTTTGTGTGTGTGTGCATAATTAGAAATGCCTTTTCCCTTTTGTGTGCAGAGGCATGACTATGCTCCATCATAAGTGATTTGTTTGCCCGGCTCCCGACTCCGACAGACTGCCTGGCTGCCTGGTCTGACTGACTGCCTGGGCTGGCTGACTGATTGAGTGTGCGCGCGCCCACATTGGTGTGCGCCAGTGCGCTGCTAAAAAAGGTTAAATAGGTTTTCTCTCTTTCTGGCTGCCACTTGGCTCTGCCTGTGTTTGCTCTGCGCTTGCTGGCTGATAGGAATCTCTGGAGGCAGTGCAGCCTGGGCTATGGAATGGGCATGGGATAGGGGATAGGATACGTGGTAATTGCATGTGCGACGGCAAGTCGCTTTTGATATGATTTGTTCACATATTTTGCGGCTCTAATTGTGTCCACAGATATGCATCTGGCATAGTTGACGGGAAAGCGTTCCCACGGCCGCCTCTTTCTCTCTCACGTGGGCCGCAGGGTAGGCTTTCCATCCACTCACCATTGTCCACATTGTCCTCGAGGAAGTCGACCACATAGCGACAGAATCTGCAATGGCAAAACTCCCGCAGTCAGTAAATGATTAAAACATTCAATTTATTGTAATTACCTTTGAGCCAATGCCTTTGATGGCGTCTGCTTTCCGGGTATCATCAGCTTCTGGTGCATCACATCGTTCTCTGTGAAGGACTGCGGGCGGTAGTAGCGGTCTGTGTTGGTCAGATCGATGATCATGCCCAGATTGGGCACCGACTCCAGCAACAGTTCGGGCCCCAGTTGCAGCTCCCTGTCGACTTGTCCATTGAGATTCTGTAAGGGCAAATACAAGGTGTATTCCACATACATGTACATATATTGAAAGTCATATAACATGCGAAAAATTGCTCAATTTATGCGCCTGCCCTGCGGCCAGGCAATTAATAAGCAGGAGGTTCCGCGATCTCTGTGGCGTTATTTAATTAAGCAAAAACAATTTAATTTAATATTCATGTGGGGTCCTCCCCACCTCCCCACCTGCCCATCACTCTTTTCGCAGGATCGAGTGCAGAGCATCATGTTCCAGTTGCCACTTTTATGCATAATTACGATGCACGAATTTTTGTCTGTTGTTATTTATTTTTAGAGGCTCTCTGGCGCTCGCTTGGTGGTCCTGGTGGGCCCCTTTTCAACATCCATCAATCGCTCCTCCTGCCAACCGGTTTGGCCCGACAGAGGAGCATGGTCAGGGGCAGCTAACTCACCTGATTCAGCGGCACCTTGAAGGCTATGAATCGCGTGCCGGGAACACGCTTTCCTATGGCACTGTAATCGAGCCATCTGCAGGCGCCAACAGAACGCCGGAAAAACAAACGCACATTAGTGGCAGTATAGGTGGTTAAGTACCGTTTCAATTATACCCACCGATCTGGTACGCCTCTGCCCATTTGGTATAATGTTTATAAACCACTTAGCTATAGCTAAAACTAAAAATTTTGGTTGTTGTTTAGAAAAATGTGACGAAACGAAATACGGTGCTGCCAGACAGTTCGATAACAGATGTTGTAGAGATGCGCTGCTTGGTAACACAAATATTTTCAAGTAACAGTTTTGCCCGAATTCTACTACACTTCTCTGCGACCAAGAGATTTTAAAAACCTCACGTTGGGAGCAAGATAAATATATGCTATCTTTTGGGTTCTTTGGCATACTGGCATAGCGGTAAATTGCTGAAGTGAAGTGACCAATTATTTCAGGAGTCACTTTTAGCAATCCGGCCAGACTGTTGCTATCTAAAATGTGCCAAAAAACGCCAAGTGCCTGAACAGCTGAACCTTTGGACTTTCTGTGATTTTTAATTAATAATATTTCAAGTAGCTTATAACTAATAAACGTCTTCCTACCCACTCACAGCTCGTCCTTTTATCAAGCACAACCATGTTTGCCAGCAATACGCGTAATTTAATGCGCAGCAGCTTTGTAAGACACGCAAATGGCGCTGGCGCTGGCGCTGGCGCAGGCGCTGCTGGATGAAAATTATTAAATAACTTAATCTTTGCAGCTGCAGCGCTGCAAGAGCACCTTGGTGGTGGCCGAGCACAACAACGAGGCTCTCAATCCCATCACCCTGAACACAATTTCGGCGGCCAAGAAGATCGGCGGTGACGTCACAGTTCTTGTGGCAGGCACCAAATGCGGACCCGTAAGTTGTTTTTGTTGCCTTCTCTCGATGCTTTTGCATAATCACACGTACGTACATCTACATCTAATCATTTGCAGGCCTCCGAAGCGCTGGCCAAGGTGGAGGGCGTGACCAAGATTCTGGTAGCTGAGAATGCCGCCTTCAAGGGGTTCACCTCCGAGTCCCTGACGCCGCTGATCCTGGCCGCCCAGGCGCAGTTCAAATACACCCACATCCTGGCTGGAGCCTCGGCTTTTGGCAAGAATTTGCTGCCCCGCGTGGCCGCCAAGCTGGATGTTTCGCCCATTTCGGAGGTGATCGACATCAAGTCCGAGGACACCTTTGTGCGCACCATCTACGCCGGCAATGCGATCCTCACCCTCAAGTCAAAGGACCCCGTCAAGGTGCTCACTGTGCGTGGCACCAACTTCCAGCCAGCGGCTACCACCGGAGGCAGCGGCACTGTAGAGCAGGCAGCGGCCGGCGATTATGCCAGCAGCTTGTCCGAATTCGTCAGCCAGGAGCTGACCAAATCCGACCGTCCTGAGCTGGCGGGCGCCAAGGTCATCATCTCCGGTGGACGCGGCCTCAAGTCCGGCGACAACTTCAAGTTGCTCTACGATCTGGCCGATAAGTTTGGCGCTGCTGTCGGCGCCTCTCGTGCCGCCGTCGATGCTGGATTCGTGCCCAACGATCTGCAGATTGGACAGACGGGCAAAATCGTCGCTCCGGATCTATATATTGCCGTTGGCATTTCGGGCGCCATCCAGCATTTGGCCGGCATGAAGGACTCGAAGACCATTGTGGCCATCAACAAGGATGCCGAGGCACCCATTTTCCAGGTGGCCGACATCGGCCTCGTTGCCGATCTCTTCAAGGCCGTGCCCGAGCTGACGGGCAAGTTGTAAGCGCGCCACGTGTTGTAGCATAAATATCAGATCAGATTCTACGATCAAGAATTGAGTTTGTTGCATTTATTGAATTTTAATGTTAGTCCGCAGAAGCAAGGGAAGAACTCCTCCGTCTCTCCATTTGTATAATAATAATAATAAACGATTGTAAGTCCTATATATGTATCTCTGTGCCCGCTCGCTCCGTCAACCGTTGGATTATAATCGCAATTTTGTTATCACTTCTGATGGATTGTGCAAGCCAGCAGAAATTCTGTGTGATCTGTTTTCTGTTTGAAATGGAGCCATTGAAGATCGCACGTTTACACTACCCGACACGGTTTATCGTCGAGGAAACAAACCCACTTTTTCTGATAGTTTTGGAGCTTTGAATTTAATTGATGAGATTTTTGTTTATCTACGGCAGAACTTTTTTTTTAAGACTGTTCAGGTCCACTCTTTGGCAGCTTTTCAGAATGGCAAAATTTATTATTACCTAAGTTATGTGAAAAACAGAAATTCTTTAAAAATAAGTTCTGGCATAGAAAAAAAGAACCATAACTTAAAAAAAAATTTAAAGCCCCAAATCTATCAGAAAAAGTCAGTTTGGCTCGAAGCGTAAATAAAAAGTGCAATTTTGTCGAGTAGTGTTATCGGGCTGCAAAGTTAACAGAGCCGAAAGGCTAATCTGCAAAGTTAACAGAGCCGAAAAGCTTTCGGCACTCTGTTGGCGGGAAAAATTCGAATTGCTGCCTGTCAGATTCAGTTCGTAAATCGTTGATATATTTTCGGTATTATTGTGCTTATTATAAAACGTAAGAACATAAATAGCAGAATTAGGCCAAAGACCACGCCTATCACCAGCGTCGTCCACTCGAGGGGATTCAGACTGTTTGTTGTGGGCAGAACATGCGTATTGATGCCGTTCTGAAAATGGAAAATGCAAAACAACTAAATATAATTTCCAATTAATGTTGGTGCGGTGAGTAGCATACCCAGCCGCCATTCTCATTTATCCAGGGCACCAGCTCATCCTCAATCACCTCCGAGACGCTCTCCATGAGCTTTGGCAGGTACTCGGGATGCCCCTGACGCACACAGTCCACCGACAGGCCGCCGGCAATGGCGAACAGCGAGATCACCTTGCTCCAGGTGATGTCCGACCGGAACAGTTCGCGACCCACCGCCCCCAGCAGCAGGCTGACAGCATCGGCTGTGTGGAACTCCCCGCCAGGATTGCGACAAATCTGACGGGCGACGCCGCTATAGGCACGTGGATGCATTCGCTCCAGTTCGTCGCCAAGCTGCAACGAGAATGGGAATCAGCATGGGAATGAAGTGTATATATTTGGGGGCTACGCACCACCTGAACCGCTGGAAAGACATCGCGAACAATGCCCATGGAGGTGGAGCCCAGGATGCTGCGTATCCGCTGCAAGCCCAACTTCTTGTTGAACAGCCCCGATCGTCTCAGGCGTCGCTTGATGTAGTGCCCGCACAGACAACGACCCTGCAAGAAGACGCCACTGGGTTAGATGCAAGCCTCAAGCAGATCCCATCCGCCCCACCTGCGTGATGATGTCCTGTGCGGGTATCTGTGCCGCCTTCCAGCCAATGGTGTAGGACAGTTTCCTGGTGACAACGTCGCTGACATTGCTGAGACGCCTCCGCGTCGTCTCGCGTTGCCCCACCTCCAGCAGCGAGGCGGAATGGAGGGTGGCCGGAAAGCTGAACTTGCGACGATTCTGGGCCTGCAGCAGGCGTTCGCTTTGTGTGGTGGCCATGGGGAAACCGTGGCTGAAATTATCGTTATTCGTGGGATACGAGCTGCCGGGCATTGTGATTGTGATTGTGTGCGTGTGTCACAAGATAGTTAGATAGAGTGAGGAGAGATCGGTTCGATCGATCGACAGATCCTAGAGGGAAAGGCTTATAAGTATGGCAAGAGTTCGTCGTATGGCATCATCCCATCGCATCGCATCGCATCGTAAATCAAATTCGATCGCCAAGCTAATTGACGTCACCGATACACACACACACACACACAGGAGGCACACAACTGGCTACCAAAGATCTGTGGCTTATTTGGCCTGCCTTAATGATCTGCCCCCCCCTGATGTGATGTGATGTGATGTGTGGCTGAAAGTGTGTTGGTCTTGTAAATTCAATTAATTGCATTCAATTTGGCAAATATCTTTGGCCAATCTCTCACATGGCTACCCCTGGGAGATCGTATCGAATGGTGGACAGGACAGACAGACATGCGCCTACAGCTGCTTCCTCAAGCAGCAACCTGATTTATAATTGACACGGGAGTAGATGGTGTCCCCACGCTAAGATCAGCCAAAGGCTAAGACAGCCTCATGGATGAGAACTTCCCACACGCTTAAAGTGCTCAAAATTAAATCGATTTCGTGGCTTGATTCGTGTGGCCTTATTGATTCGGTTATGACGCTCATTGATGGCTTATTACCTGGGCCAGTGGCAGAGTGCCAGAGCCAGAGCCAGAGGCAGGCCATTTCGGGCACATATCGGACAGATTGTCGGCTCGTTAAGTTTGATTGGCTCCGCAATATGGCCAAAATGTTGCTATGCGGCAACCTGTGTCGGCTATGATGTCGCTGCAGCTGTTTTTACTTTGTTGTTGTTGTTTGTTTGTTGCCTTGCCAGATGCATTTTTGTGTGTGTGTGTGTGTTGCTGTTGTCATTAGTTTAACGCAAGCGAGATGTCAAATGGCAAATGATTTGTGGGACGAGACAGGTGAGCAGAGGATGCGCCATCGACTGGCCATCGTCTGGGGAGTACTTGACAATTAGCTTTACATAACCTGACCCAATACCCGAATACCCTCGTGACCAAGGAAAGTCCCAGCCCAAACAAAAAAACATCAAAGTCGTGTCTTGGCCGCATGGAAAGTGAGGCACAAGAACTCAATGGTATTCGGGTCACCCACGTCACGCCCAACGCCCAACGCCCCAAGCCCCAAGCCCACTCCCACCCAGCGAATTGGAGCTTATAAAGTCACTTTCGCCCTGTGGCCGATCAGTCAGTGATCATTCAGTATGTCAAGCAGTGGCACGCACCCAATCATCATCCTGCTCGGCGCGCTACTTGTTCGGGGCTGCCTGGCGGATGTGGCACACTTTTTTGCAGCGGCACCAACGGACTTGGGCAGCTATCTGCATGGCCAGCTGCCGTACCAATTGGGTCTGCATCCCTCCGCTTTTTACGGATCTCCCGTCACTCCTGCACCCGCACCCGTGGCGCCAGTGGCCACCACCGAGTTCAGTCTGCCGGAAATCATCGAGAATCGAAGTGTTAAGTTTCAGGGACCGTCACAGGGACATGGCAGCTTCATTCCCCTCAGCCAGCACTATCTGCCGCCTGCCATCGAGGAGCGCCCCAGCTATGAGAGTCCCAAGCCCAGGTGGGTTTTCCCTGCACGCACAGCGACATGAATTTATGGTTTAAGTCTCTCTGCCCGCAGCGAGGAAGCTTACCCTGCCTACTACTACCCCCAACCGCCTGCGACAAGCACTCCACAGCCCATCATCGTGCAGGATCCGGGTGAGGACATCGTGGAGACCATCCACTCGCCCGGCTACGATTACCATGCCCCAGCCCCAGCCCCAGCCCCAGCCCCAGCTGCAGGCCCAAGACCCTCCACGCCCGCTCCGTTGTATCTGCCGCCCGGCGAGAGCAGCGGGGATCAGCAGCAGCAGCAGCAGCAGCTGCGACTGCGCCTCAAGGACATGCGCTGCCTGCAGGCGGGCTTCTTTCGGGCGGTGCTCAAGCTGGACAGCTTTCTGGGCGCCGCTCCCACGGTCGACCAGGACAGCGACGATGTGCAGGACAAGCGCTGCGAGCTGAAGCTGGCGCGCAGCTTCCTGCTGCTGGACATTGCCGGTGCGGACTTTGAGCGCTGCGGCGTGCGCTCCTGTGGCCAGGATCTGTGCCTGCGTCTGCGCTTCCCCACCATCCGGGGCCTGCGCACCGGCGGCGACTCCATTCTGACGCTGCACTGCAAGTCGCAGGAGCGCGTGGCCGTCAAGACGCATGCCCTCAAAATGGGCGTGGCCAATGATGTGTGGGTAGACGCCATGCCCGCTTAGAGATCCTTTAACCTCCTGCTGCTCCGTTTTTTCTTGCAGGCAGGCACGCAGCGTGGGTAACTACGCCCATGGGGGCAATCAGAATGCCTTTCGCACCCATGTGGAGCTGCTGCGGCGTGGCAGCAACGGATACACCCGCCACCTGGAGGCCAACGGAGCGGTGCAGCTGGGCGAGGAGCTGCTGCTGCGTGCCCATGTCCTGGCCGGCGATGGTGAGTGGAATGAAGTGCGAAAAGCAGCAGCCTCGGCCTAACTTCCTCTATCCTATCCCCTGCACAGGCTGGAACTACACCAAGCTGAGTGACGTCCAGCTGCAGAGGATCGCCGCTGGCGGGGAAATCCTCAACACCGTCCAATTGGTCAGCTCTCGGGGCTGCCTGAATCCCGCCATGCAGGCCATCTGCAGCCACTCGCCCATCGTGGAGCCGCCGCTGGGCCAGCGTTTCCACTTCCGGGCCGTCATGTTTCCGGGCATGCGCAGTGGCGATGTTCTCGTCATTTCCATGCGCATCAGCGGCTGTCTGGAGCGCGAGGATTGCCAAATCACAGCGCAGGATTGTCTGCCGTCCGTGGCACAGCGTCGCAGACGGAATGCCGCCCTGCAAGCGGCCGCAAATGGCACGGAAATCTCGGAATTGTCGCACTTGACGTTCCGTGTGATTATGCCCGGCGCGGAGCAGGAGCAGGAGCCAGTGCCGGCTGTCAGAGATGCCGCGGGGCATATACAGGGCGTGTCCAAGTCGCTGGCTCTATTCGGCAGTGTGGCATTTGTGGTGCTGCTGTTGGCCGTGGCCATTGTGGCGTTGTACAAGTTCGGCAGATAGAAAGCCCACAAAATTTCAGTTCCGATTGAAAATTCCTTATTTTTCCTTGCTTAGCTGCTCCTCTCTATTAATCCTCTCCCAAGTATCCCACTTGTACACCAATTTTCCTTCCCATGCAGCGCGACAAGACCCCATCAATGCATCCCACACACCCCCCTTGCCACTCGTTGGTGGTGTCTATATGCCTAGAAAATTGACTTATCGCCTGAACGGCATCAGCAATGTTCTGACCATTTTGAGCATTAAACAGAAATTAGCACTTAATAAAATGTTATTTATGTTCATGTCGCTTGTAATTGGACAGGGGGGCCGGACCGTAGAGTTAAACTAAAACTAAAACTGCTACTATTTTTATACATAAACCCCATCGCTCTCCCCCACCCTGACTGGCTGTCCGACTGACTGAATGATTTCCAAACTGCGCGCGCAATTCGCAAATTGTGATCTCTGGCTTAGATTATGGCCAAGACCAGGCCAGGCCAGGCCAGGCCAGGCCAGACCAGACCACAACCAAAGCTCCAAACGAACTCGAATTTTATCACGTTTTCACGCTTCGAGCGCGCAGTTAATGAAACCGCTCAGTAGCCATCGGCACCATCGCACTCTACTGATTTGTTTTGGCCTGGTATTGTGCGGATTTTTGGCATTGTTATTTGGTGCAATTTGTAGTCATTTTCGTATGTTAATCCATCGCCAGTGGCCAGTGCAGCCAACCAACCAGCGGACAGTTTACGCTTAATGGGCATCAAAATCGCAGCCAATTAGTGGTCTGCGATTGTCATCGGTGAATGCTATGTGGGGGGGCCTCTAATTATTGTCTGGGGTGTAGAAATCTATGCAACAATAACCAAATGGGGCGAAACACGCTTGCAGTTGTCAAAGAGTTGCCCATAAATACCAACAGGGGGGGGCGGAATCGATCTCTTTGTGCTGCTGTTCCTCGTTAAGCCCTTCATTTTCCACTTTATTGCCTTGCAATCTTACTCGTATCTACTCAATCTGTGCATCCTTGATGACCTGCCCAAAAGCAGAATATTCCCACAGCACACAGATCATCAACAGCACAGGTGCTCAGATGCTCAGGTGCCCTCATTCCCCCTCTCTCTCTCTCTGTCTCTGTCTCTCTGGCGTGTTGTGTTGTGTTGTCTTATGCTCTCCGGCTTGGGGCTAATTAATAATCCCGACACGTTCCAGGCCGACTAAGTAACATCGCTGAGAGAGCAGGCAGGCAGGCAGCCCTGGCAGCCGCTGGCAAAAGGCTACTTTGTCTTTGTCGCTTAAATGGCAGGCAAAATGTTTGGCGCCCATAAATTAATGTCGTCCCCAACTGGCGCTTAAGTTCGTGTTTTGTGTGTTGTTGTGTGTGTTTTTCAACTGCACTCCACGCCACTGCACTCCACTCCACTCCACGCCATTCCATCCTTGACTACCAGACTCTGTCTCCGTCTCCGTCTGGTGTCTTGGGTAAGCCGACAATTTACACTTTTCATTCATTCACCAGCCAAATCGGCCAGTGCAGTGCCAGGCCTAAACAATTTTCATGTCGGCCTGGTCTGGGGTCTGGGGTCTGGTCTGCTTAAATTATCGACTACTTAGTGCCCAATTTAGCAATGCCTAATAAATATTTATGAACGCACTTCATTTTAGTCAATTTACAATGGACCAGAGCTATGCCATGCAGGCGACTCTGTCGGTTCTATGAATGGACCGATCCGATCCGATCATTGCCCAAATGGATGCCCAATCAAACCCACATACTTTGCTGATCATTAAGAGAGATTTTGTTGTATACTGATTGAGGGAATATACCAGGAAAGAGTGGCAACAATTAAAGATTGTATTGATTGGAAACCTTTAAAGGAGTAAGCCAAACCAATTAAAGTAATTTTTTGACATTTAAATATTCTACAGGCAGTTCTAACCTTTGCTGTTTGTTCAAATTATAATGTGGGATATGCATATCCTGATCTGCTGCTCCATTTTCCAAGCCCATGCCTCCCATTGGCTGGGCAGCCCACTAAAAAATAAACAAAAATCAACACGACTCTAAATCAACGCCTCGGACAACTCATTAGCAACTTTTATTAACCAAAAGTGTCAAATGCTTTATCTTGCGGCTGGCAACGATTGGCCGCGGATCGCGTTGCCTCTGATCTCCGCTGCCTTAAGTTGTTGTTGTTGTTGTTGTTTCATTGATTGATTTTTTTGTTGCTCATTTTATTGGTTGTTGGACTTGTTTTTTGTTTCATTTGCTCTTGCTGCGTCTGCGCCTGTGTCTGTGTCTGTTTTTGCTCTCTTTGCTGAGCATTTTGAGCATGTTAACATTTGTGTTATTGATTTTTTACAACATTTGACAGTTACGCAGGCGCACCTGCACCTGCACCCCCTTGCCCACCTTTCGATTGGAATTCGAAGTTTTTGCTCCAATTCGGAATGCCATGACAAGCGATTCGAAGCAATTTGACTTTCGTTTGCTGATTGGTTAATCAAATCAGAAAGAGGTTCATTAAAGTGCCATTTTCATATCCTAATTGCGGCTACGAACAGCCAGGCCCCAAAATGAAATATAATATTATATCTTAAACGAAGCGAATTAAATCCACAAAAATACTGCCAGCCGCAGTTTTGCGGTTTTGACATATCAGCAAAAAAAAAAAATAAATAAATAAAAAAATAAATAAAATAAAAAATATTTTTAATGGAAATTGGTAAATTAGTGGCTTACAGCAGCGCTTCTGTTTTGCTGTGTTGCTGCTGCTGCTGCTGCTGCTGCTGCTGTCGTTGGCAATTTGAAATTTACACCGTCCCAGACATTACAATACAGATATAGATACAGCTACAGATACCGATACAGGTGGCAAACATTGTTCAGATCATTAGTTGTTGGCTTTGCACTTTTGCAGTTAACCGATCTGCGTCATTCAAATCGAACGTGAACAGCGTTGGGCGCGCGGAGGGTTGGCTACAATAGTATGCGCGTTGTGGGGTGTGTGGTGGGGTGTGGGGTGTGGGGTGTGTGTGGGGAGGGAGAGGTAGAGGGCAAGTGGTGTGGTGCCAGTTAATTGCAATGTTCCAACAAGGTGGCGGTATGGCAGAGGGGGCACTACAGGGGCTGCTGCTGCTGCTGCTGCTGCTACGTGCCGCCAGTTTTGTGTTCTGTTCTAGTGAGCCACATTAATCACATGGCCTACAACCTAAACTAAACACTTGTACTTTACGTTCTTGAGCGATGAGTGCAAGTGAGACAATAATTATAGACTTCGGCTCTGGGGGGTACAAAAGCAAACAGTTGTGAAGTTTTAATGGATTATTTCACAACTATTACGACTATAAGGTGGAAAAACTATTAACGAAAAAAAAGGGCTAGTCAACAGAAATAATTGGAAGTGCTATATATATAATACTATTTATACATTTTTCTGATAAATCAAAGTTTTCGCCGATAAATGTCCTCACTCGGCACCCCCCCCTCTTAATCATAGAACTCGAAAGAGTTGAAAATATGAAATTTCATATACTCGTATTCGCTGACTTATCACAGATTTTATGTCAACAAATTAGAGTGTCCAACTGCCAACTGTCCAATTTTCCATTTCCACTAATTGTCAAGACTCCACAGATGTAATAAAAAAAACGAGGAGAAGAAAAATTAAAATCATTTATGGCAAAGTCGATTGGTCTATTGCCGTCTCTTTCTATTTGTGGTGTGGGTGGTGGCGGCGGCTTACGTTGATTATCCCCCCACACACACACGCACTCGCACACACAGACAAAATAAAAACCAACAACGAAATTTAATTAAATTAAAAATCGCGCTGGCATGACCTCTTTGTTGCTCCCCACAAAAAAAAAAAACAACAAAAAAAAAAGAGTGCGTTCAACCTGAGAGCAGCAACAACAAAACGAGGCAACAACATACTTGAAGGCAACAACAACAACAATACGGCATAAACATTTATGCAATAATTAGCTAATAAATAAATTACTAAACCCACAGTGCCACACCTCCTCCTGCTGCTCCTCCCACTCCGCCTACTGCTGCGGCTTACTTATCGCTGGAAATGGATCGCATTGATACGAGTTATACGGTACGCGGATGTTTATCTTTGATTGTTGGATGCGCCATTGGAGCTGATAATGGGTTTTGCGGTGTGAGTTTCGGGTTTCGTTTCTGTTTCTGTTTCTGCTTACGATGAGCAATATTTTATTAAAGGAGAACACTGCCTGTTCAATTCCGACAGGTTGGACCTACAGACACAGCTCAAAGCTGAGCTGCATGGAAATTACTTGATTATTTATGCGTTACGCGTTTTTGAGCGGGGGGGCGGATCGGCGGGTGTGATATGTGTGAAACATTCACGGTCACAGCAGACTTTTGGCTGAAGGCTGCAGCAGCAGGTGGAGCGAGGGAGCGAGGGGTAATAAACAATTATCGTCACTGATCACCGGAAACCGAAAGTATAGCCCCAAAACGTCGGTAGCGTACATAATATGAACCACTAACCGATTCCACTACTTCCGAAACGAATAAAAAAAAACGTTTTGACAGCTTCAGCGGCGGCCGAACACGTCGAAGGTTGAAAATGAATTGAGCCAGACACAAAACCAAAACAAACTGCCCGCCAACGGTGCTGCCATTACGCATTTACCAACACTGCAGCCAGTTGCGCTGCCTACCATCGATAGAATCGATTTACTGTACTCTCAACAGCTACATTCAAATCTTTAGTGTTTCGGCTTTGGCTTTTATTGGCTTTTGGCTAACTGTAGAAAATGTCTCTTGTAATCTTGTATAAAATATTATAAATAGAACTAAAAACAAAAAATGACACCATGGAGTATCGGTAAAACTATCGATATCGATAAAAATTAAAACAAAAACATAGCTAAAATAGCTAAATGCTGATATTGTTTCGTGGTCAATAAAACTAAACTTCTTTTAGTCTATCCCACAATGTAGATACATTCATTTATATTATTAACATATATATAAATTTGTTTTGTTTAATGTTTGGTTACCTTTAAAAAAAAGCCAGATTTGACGGGATAAAATCGGTAAAATCGGCAGCACTGGCAGCTCAACATAGCGTTCATTGAACGCCGTTCAATAAACAAAGCGCAGAAAAAATTAACTAAAAGACAATATAATGTCGCTGACAATAATGAAATGCCGCAAATCGGCGGCAGGACTAGTGCCTATACAGCCGTCATTGGTTTACCGCACGAAAAACCTGGACACAATGCAGATTATGAAGGTAAAAACATAAACAAATATACATACAAATTTTTGGCTGGTATTAAAAGGTATATTTGATTAATTTTGTTGGTATAATATACCGTATACAATAACAGCTGTTGTGAAACGTGTGAAGAAGAAAACAAAAAGCACAACAGAAATGTGAAAATAATTTCTTTACTGCGAATAATTTATGCAGAAACAATTTGTGAAGCTGGAAGCGGGGAATGGCATAGTCAGCGCCACTTCAGCTGGAATCGTCCTCAACAAAATACCAGCGCTGATCAAGCCCACGATGAAGAGAGCAGCCACATCGACGGCACCAGCAGCCTTGGGACCAGGTAAGTGACACCCTCAGACGTAGAAGAGCTATTAATACCAGCGTACAAATCGACAGGTCCCCTGAAGAATCCCAAGTATGTGATTCAGACTAGCGCGGCGGCGGCTGGCACTTCGGCGTGGCAGTCTGTGACAGCCATTAAAAGGGAGACCGGCTCGAATCAATCCCTGGGAATAGCGCTCAGCTCGCTGCCGCCCAACACCATCATTAAGAGGGCCGCGCCACCAAGTGCAGCAGCTCCCGCTACCCCAACAACCAGCAGGAGCGCCCTGTCGAGTCTGCTCAACAGCCCAGTTACGCCCGCTTCCCGCGTCTCGTCTGCCGTACACCAGACGGTTTTCGTCAAGCGGGAATTGCCGCCACAGCGTAGCATGCGCGCCATGACCATGGGCCTGATGGAGAACGCCACGATGCTGCACCTGGGGCTGGCCAGCGAGCATCTGTCGATACTGAAGCGACACATATGCCGCAGTGCCGCGGTGACTCACCTGGACTGCTGCATAGCGTTGAGGAAACTGCGCCAGAACGAGTCGTTTGCCCTGCTGGCCGAATGCTTCGAGCTGAGCGAGTCCGATGCGGAGGAAACGTTCAAGCGGACCATCATAAAGCTGGCTCGCTGCCTGAGGCCCTTAATCTGCTGGCCGGACTCCAACCACTTTCTCGACAGGCTAAAGCACACGCCGCTGGACTACCGGTCCGATCTGATGCATCTGCGGTCCATTATTGAGTGCGTGGAGACGGACGTGAGTGAGGCGTTAGACTTTAGCTGCCAGAGCTACAAGTTCATACTCTGCATCAACACGAATGGTAATGAAATGCAATCCAATTGGATCCCAATAGCTCATTTGAGGATCTTCTGTATCCTTAGGCATCATCAGCTACATCTCGAGCGCCTATCCCGGCCAGTACGACGATCTGCAGCTGTTCGAGGCCAGCAACTTCAAGAACATTGTACCCGACTACCTCACGCTGTGTGCGGAACCCGGCAAGGCAGTGCCCCGCTCACGGCAGCCAGCCTCTGATTCCATTTACGATGCCGTCGAGGATGATGATTCCGCATCGCTGGACGAGCAGAAGCAACCGGTCAGCAGCTACGACTCCCAGCGCCTGGCCGGGCAGTTGGCCAGCCAGGAGTCACTGTCCATTGTGAATGGTGCCCTGATCTCGAAGCGCGCCCCGTCCGTGCAACTGCCAACGCTGCGTCTGCAGGAGCCGGCCTGCCATGCCCAGTTGCGCGCCACAATCGACACGCTGCGAGAGTTCAAAATGCTGCACCACAGCGCCATTCAACAGAAGTCGATGCTCGGTTACCTCAACGAGATGCTAATTGTGGCCGCCGCTCTGTGCAATCTGAAGCGGAAGGAGCTCTCCTCGTAAGCCTAGGCTAAGTTGTATGTGAGAATGTGAGAGAGAGAGAGAGAGGCCTGTTTTAAGGCCCAGTCTAGTAGAGAATCTTGTATTAAAATCTATTCGTACTCGAGCTGTTGAGTCTCTGTGGAATGGTTATTAAATTGAAGCTTTGGAGAGTCTAAGAATTTGTTTAAACAGCTGAAACATTTCCAATTCCATTCTCTTCTCGGCTGTCAATTAACAAAACAGATGCAGGTACATATACGTATATTTATTTTTTTATTTTTAATTTTGCTTTATTTACTGTGGAAAAAATACGCAAAACTAAATACATATTCAACGGGTAAGTTGTTCAATGAACGACAATGCAAAGAGACGACCACAAACCCTCACCGATTTGTGAGAGTTGGTCGTTATTATAGCTTGAAATGATGTCTATATCGTATATGGTATATATCGTGGATATATGGTACATATATTCCTTTTCCTTCTCTTCTTCTGTCCTTTATCGCGTCCTTGCTTAATGGATAATAATTAAAAACTTGCTTAGTTCATAAGTGACTCGTACTAAATAGTTAAACATTATATATGCTCTGCTGCTGCTCCAGCTGCAGCTGCAGCTGCTCCTCGCCGATGTACTAAATAGATTTCGGGGAACCTTTTTCGGTTGTTTGCTTCGTGTAAAGTTATAACAAGTACGGGTGCCTTTCTGCTGAGTGGGAGTCCGCTCAGAGCTTCTGTATGATATCGAACTTCTTCTTGAGGTCGACGCTCTCGTTCTTCGGATCGTACTTCTTCTTGGAGGCAAGCTTGGCCCGCATCTCGGCCGCCGTCGGTGGAAGGTTCAGGCTGCCCGCCCGGTTTCCTGCCGCTGCCGTCGACATGGGAGTTGCTGTCGGGGCCTCTGTCATGGCTGTAGGTGTGGCTGTGGGCGAGGCCATGCCATTTGTGTTGCCATTGGAGCTGCTGTACACATTGCCATTGCTGTTCATGGTGGCCACCGCGGCGGATGGTGGCGGCGGTGTGCTCATCAGGGTGTTGTTGTTGATCGGCGACGGCGAGGACGGTTTGCTACCATTCTGCTGTGGAGAAGGGACAACGACAGCTACCGGTGGAGGAATGCCCCTGTCCACCACATCCAGGTCGCTGGCATTCATGGTGCTGCCGCTCTGGATGCTGCTGGCATTCGAGGATCGCTTCATGCTCACCATGCTGATGCTGCTGATATTGGCACTGGCACCGGGCATCTCCTGTTTGGTTCCCTCGTATCCATTCCCATTCACATTCGCATTCGGAGTGACATTGCCATTCGTTGGCTCACTGCAATTGGAAAGGGCTGATGGCGAGGGCGGCGATAACTCTATGGGCTTGCCATCCACATCGATCAGCAGGAGGCGCACCTCACTGGCAATCGCCTTGATGCGGGCCACCACCTGCTTGTGCGTCTCACTGCCAATGGACACACCGTTCACCTCCAGGATGCGATCGCCCTCCTTCAGGCCAGCCGACTCTGCTGGCGACTTGGCGTCCACCTTCCCAATAAACTGTCCCGGCTTCACCTTCTCCGAGTGCAGATTGAAGCCATAGCCATCGAAATCGGTTCGCTTCACTATGTGACAGGTCTTGGTCACACCCGGTGGCAATGTGGGTGGTGTGGGCGTCTTCGCTGATGTTTGTGGCGACATTATGGCTGTGGGCAAAAGAAAGAAAATGCGTTTAGATGGGATTGCTGGCTCTATGGTTACTTGCGCCTCACTGTATTGGCGATAGCGAAATGAGTTCTCTGGCGGAATGTTTTAGTTTCTTCAAAGTAATGTCAAGGGATACCCTGCAAAGCGAGCTACCTAGAAGCATATACGCTTAGCTGGAGAACATAACCAATTAAATGCTACAGAAGCTTCATTAATATTCCCAGGGTAACAACAAGCCTACTGGATCGCCTCTATTTCGTCTGTAGAAATTCTCATTTGCTTCGTAAAACATTTGCTGATAAAATGCAAGATTTCGTAATGAATTTTTTTTCGTATTTGTATGTCGCATGAGAGAGGCGTCTGGAATTTACTCAAATATCATACAGTTGTGGATCTGCAGCCAGTTTCGCAGTCAGGCAACCCCAAAAAGAGGGTACATAGCATGGATACGATACATATCTTTATGGCAATCAGCGGCAGCGTTGATAACAAAATGTTTCATTCATTCAGCTTTTGTGCAGCCTTATCGCAGGGCTGCTCTGCGTGTCCCTCTACGTACGACTTGGTAACATTGACAATATGCTGACCCACATGGGTACAGGGGGCAGGGCACATGACCCTCGATACACCGGTGGCACCCTCACTCTGATCGTATGGTACGTGTTTATGGCTAAATTGGAATAGTTTTGGGTCTAGTGAGTGCCTCCTCCACATATCTGGGGGGGGGGATAAGTGCTGCCATAGCGGCTGCCATAATTATGGCTGCTTACCAAATAACTTTATGGCCCGTGCTCAAGTTGGTGTTTTGTGTGTGTAGCCGATCCAGTTAGAAAATTCCAACTGCATGCGCTCATGGCTCAAAATTGATTTTACACGCCCGCTTATCGAAGGGCAACGTGATTTTTCCACGCTAACTTGAAACAAAAAACAAAAAACAAAGGCATTTGTCAAGACAATTCTTGACATGTGCATAAGTGGGGGGGTTCCTGTATGCAAATACAGAACCCCCCACCCGAACAGAAATTGTCGTCGCTCTTCTCACAATCGAAATCTCCGCTCGCTCCATTATTAATTACCCGGTAATTTTCAAAGTTCCAACGCCACTCAACTGATACCGAGATGTCGATTTCGATGCGACCCTGAACTTATGAAATTAAAACAAAAAAAAAATATAAAATATCCCAGGCATTGCAAATTACAAAGCAAAGGCATTTTTGTTCCGCCTTTGCTTGAAAATTTGTTTGCTTTTTATTTATATATTTATTTATTTTTGTGTTTTTTTTTTCCTTTGGTTTAAAGTTGAATCATCGCTTTGGAGAGAGGCAGGCCCCGTAAGATTTATGAGTGTTGGCATTAGCCTCTTGATGAGTACGCGACTTAATTTATTAGGGGGAACAAGATGAGGCTCGCTCGTGTTTGCGTCTGGTTTGGGGGTATGACCTTGACTTCCCCGCCACTCCAACTCCAATGACGAGCTCTACCAGCTTCCATTGTAAGCGATTTATAATTCCAATTCAAAGGTAAACAATGGAGCGCAAACAAAAATTCAATTCAGAATCCAACAATGAGAGCGTTTACGTGGCGGCGTCCCCGAGCGGGGAAGATGCTCTCAATGGATGTGGGTAATTTCGGAGGGAAATAATAGTAATAATGTGTATAATACATAATAATAATTGTTTATACAGCTTGGCATGTTGCATGTCTGAAAAGTTTTTATTTTTTTATTTTTTGTTGATTCGATTTCTATTTGGATGCGAAGCGGGAAGTGGCATTTCGCGCAACGAAAAATGTCACAAAAAATCAACAAACTAATCGTTAAATTGATAGACGGAAATTGAATGGAGCATCCATTTGTATATTGTTCGTTTTCGTATTATTAATGGGCGAGCCAGCTGAGTATTAATATGAAATCCAATGAAAATTAATTTAATTAATTTAATTTTTGTACTTTAAAAGCAAAGGATTACTCAAGTATTAATTACATTATTTTAACGTTTCATTGGCAGTTTAATGGAAATGAAGAACATTTAAATTGTTAATTAAATACAATATTAAATATCAAATTAAAGGGAATTTTCAAGGAATTATATCTGTTTGATATTTAAAATTATACGCAAGGGAACCTTTTATAATGAAGTATTATTTTTAGAGAACTATGGGATCGTTCTTTAAAATTTAAATATATTTTTTATATTTGCAATGTTTTTTACCGATTAAAATTTTGGCATTGAGAGCCCTTCAGCTCGGTCGGACTCAATAATTTATATTTGTACATTTATAATTTGGTATTTAGCTTTGTTCCGTCAAGCGATTTGCCGTTGTCGCTTCTCTCTGATCTGTCGTGCCACCGTTCTACCGTTTCTGTCCGTTTGGCCGAGCGAGCATCCGAGTATCAGAGGAGAGCTCTACGAGAATGGGGCAAACTTTAATTGAATTTGCAATCAAGCATGAAGTACACTCGCACAAACACACACACATAGATACATATTTGTACACACAATGGAGAATGGGGCATCGTTTCACCCCTTCTCTTCCTCCTCCCTTGTACCTTTTTTGGCGGAGAGACAGCAGAGTGGCACCAGCGGCAGCAGCTTGTTTGTTGACTTAAGCGGTTTCTCATCATTAAAGCAAATTAGCCGTTAGGCACTTACAGGTAGATGATTTCAATTGTTGATTGTGACTTCTCCCTCATCAGCGTCAAAACAAAAAATACACGTAAATCCCTATATAAATATCGCACGTGGCGGAAACTTTTGCGATGCAATGCGGCATATTTCCAAGTAAATTCTAATTAAATTTCAGTTTATTTGAAAATTTCGCGCCGAATTTAATTATTCATAGTTGTTGTGCAAATATGCAAAGTCTTTAGATAAGCAGCGGAAATGCTAAAGCTAACAGCGAAATTATTGAGATAAAGATACATTTTCTAGAAGCTTCTCGCTGGCGTTTATCTACAGGCAAAAATTCTAAAGGAAGTGAGAAATAGTTAAGCGAATGAGTCAGATGTGATGGTAATGGAATTTATATGGCTATTAAAATATATCGCTTCATGGGAACTGATTTGTAATAAGATATTCCTGAGTCGTTAGAGTCACCTGTTAGCGATTTCCTCTCAAAAAGGGCCATCAAAAGTGTTTAGAAATTGTTGAAAGGGTTGGCCAGTAGATAGCTCTAACCAGTGGTGTGATTAGAAATCAATTCAGGAGAATCTTTGCAGTTACTTCCCCATTCAGAGAGCTTCTCACGCGAGTCAACCGTCTATTAGTGTCCGTTCGCTTCTGGGAACAGTGAAACCAGTGGAATTTGAACAAAGAAAAAGTGGCAAACAATTATGAATACCACATTTGGCACTGCTCTCTTGGATATTTCTTGGATGGAGATATTCACATTCAAAATGTTATCCGATCCACCTTGATCCACAGGTAACGCCTCATAACCTACCGATGATCACATCATGGCAACAACAATTAAGATAAAGCTATAGAGAGAGAGAGAGAGGGGGTTTGCTGCCCCCCCACCCTGTTGTCTAAATGTGCAATTAGCTGTCATAAATAGCGACAGACACAATGCCAGAAAGGCGCGCAACAACTCGATTCATTTATAAGTATTATATAAGCCCTTCACATTTCACGAAATGATGCATCACGAGCCATATTTAATGCCAGACGAAATATAATAATAATAATTCACAGTCGAAAATTCGCAAACCAGCAGCAAAAGAATTTTCAAAGATAATTTCCATTGTCTGTTATAAAATTAGCGAAATATTGAAAAAGGTCTACGTAATAAATTAAACAAAAGCTGACGACATGTGCTTTCAACTGAGATTTTTATATATGTATATACAATCAAGAAAACAGAGTCCCAAGTACAGGCAAAAACTTTCACTATCTTAGTCGATCGATGATCAAGGACTTGTGCGGGCGAAGGGCGTCGCAGAAGTCAAGAGGAGGGTTGGTACTCGTACTCGTCGACTACTCATTGTATATATTGGAATTGACATTATCTTAACGACATAAGACACATTTTAATTTCTGTGTTTGACTTTATCAAATATTATATTTCTTGCTTGCCAAATAGATTCTCCTTTCGCTTATCTTATCATAAATTCTTGATTTTAATTAAGAATTTCTGGGCCCGCCACCGGTTACTCCTTCACTGTTTACACTACACCATATTCATGGGTAATTATGCAAGTAATTCTCGTAGCTGGTATTTTTTTGGTAGATGACGTCAAAATGATTAGAGCCAAGAAGTTTTTTGGGGGCTCATTTAGCACCTCCAGAGACGGACGCAGAGATACACACAGAGACGGATGTGGTGACAGTTCTAAGCCCTGTTTCTGTTCATGAATCACTTGGTCCAAAGAGAAAACTCATTAGCAGCCGCAGCAGCAGCCTCCTTCCCAGATCTCGGGGCAGATGCGATGCGTGTGCGCCTCATGAGTGACTGTCGTTTGTTGTCGCCCCCCCGCTTGGGTGCTTGGGAATTGTTGGCAAATGTCTTTTTTTTTTACACCTGGGAAAACTCACTGCGAAACGGGTTATGGATTATTTATTCTTTGCATAGCCACAGTGCACACGGGCGGGGGGAAAGCTGCTAAAGAAACTCGTTCGAACAGAACCCCAAATATCTTCTGCCGCTTTAACTGAGCAGTCTCTTAATTTTAAGTGAATGTATTCGAGTGTAAGATGCATCTAATTGCTTACTTTTGTTGTCTAAAATTTTCTATTGTTAATCTCTTTTTCCCAGGGTACTTTTAAAGTCGAATAACCATTCTCCTACTGATCATTTTTCTATTATCCAATGACAATGGCAAAAAACGCTGTAAATGTGAATGTAAAACTGACGCTGGCGCTGACTCTGACTGTGACCCCTTCGTGGCCCTCAGTCTGAGTCTCACTCTCTGGCTTAAATCGAGAGAAACACCTGCATAAAGAAGACACTTGAATGCTTGGTCATAAGCATTTATCCGAGCCCCACGACCAATGTCAAACGGGCCAAGTAAATATTTGTGTTAGTTTCTCGTGTATAAAATGCATAAAATATCACTTTACATTGGGAATAGTTTGCACAATTTTATGGCATTCCCCCCAGTGAGGTTAAGTAAACAAGAAAATGTTGTATGTACGAGTATTACCCGATAGTTGAAGCTGCAGGTGAGATATTTGATGGAAATATAGATCTGGCTCCTTCAGAGAAAGAACAACTTGAAATTTAATGATGATACAAAAAGTGAATCTTGCAATTACCCTTTGCTCGTTTCATTTCATTAATGAGAAAAAAGAGAAACCCCCCAAAGGCATATAGTACATACATACATACATACATATGTATACAAATACTCGTACATATATCATTTTTCTTGGGTTTCAGGTTTTCAGGTCTTCTCGCATAACGGATACACGAGTACGAATATCTTTTTGGTTGTACTTCTGGGCGGTGTACGCGGCAATCAATCAAAACTTTAATAAGCAAATAAACAACGCGGAGCGTTACAACAAATAATTGTAAAATTATGCCAAAAAAAAAAAACAAAAAGAGAAGAGAGGGGAAATGCAATGCAAAAAATACAACCAATGCAATTTTTTAAGACAAATTTCTTGATGTAAGCCATGCAGACAACTTGTCTTAGCTGTTGGTTTTGCCCATACAAAATTCTAGTCGAAATGTATCTGACAGTACGTGGTGTATGTACACACACACAAAGCCCTCGAAGATACACACACATACACACTGACGAGAGATACAGATACATTTGAGACACCAACTACAGCACAAAAAATAATAATAATAATAAAAGGAAGCTATAAAGATCGCCCAAGAGAGAGAGAGAGAGAGAGAGAGAAGAATAGAGAGAGAGAGCCACTTACAAGCTGTGTCTCTCTCTTTCTCTGGATCTGTAAGAACCTGGTCCTAACCAAAATCATTTTGATGCTGTGGAGGAGCTCTGCCTCAAATATTTTTCGTGCGTTCCAGCCGGCGAATATTTCAGAGAACTGAAGATACCCTTTTGCATAGGGTCTATGACATGGGAGATGTGTTATGCAATCCGAAATATGGGAATAACTAGGGAATACCTTCAAAATCATTCAAAAACATTCGGCCATAGAGGAAGATACTCAAGCCAGAAATACTCCAGCGTAAACTTCAAAATGATCTTCCATTTCAAACGTTATATACATTATCCGCCCTCAACTATATTTTTCTAGAGTATTAACAGGTCTGTTTTTGGGTTTACAAATTCAGCTTCCTTTCTTGTTTCGTCTGGGATTTCGTTTCGTTCTTTTTTGTGTAACTTTTTTTTATTTTTTTGGTTGAGCTTGAGAAAATAAAAATTGATTCTAGAACCTGTTTTTTTGGCTCTGCCCCGCGTCTGTTTGTGGCTCTTTGTGCTGGCCTTTTGAAATATCTTTGGCTTTTGTACTTGTTTTTGTGGCAGCAGCTAGCAGCCCCTTCGCAGCAGCCGCCGCTGTTTTTAGGCGTTTCTTGAGCTTGTTGCTGGGATCTTGTTTGGGTCTCTGTTTTGTCCGTCCGGTCCGTCCATCCAATCAACAGAAACAAAAAAAAAAGAAGGAAGAGAAATACATTTTTGTGTGAGAGATCTCTCGAGAAGAGTTCGGACCTTTTGGGGCTTTCGTTTTCGTTTGTTTGGCGGGGGGACCAGGAGGGGGTTTGGAATGGGATAGCCATTTAATAACGTAGATATTTTTGTATAATTTATACAATTTTTGTCTACTATTTTTTCGAAAGTTTAACAACAAAATAAAAAAACAAACAAAAAAACGAGGCGAATAAGTAAGATTTTGTATAAAATTATCGTATTGGGTTTTGGGGTGAGTCGTCGTTTCGTTGCATTTGCTGTCGAGTCTACTGCGTCAATGGTTTTCTCAGACCTTGAGAATATTAGAAATTAACAATTGGAAAAAAAATTATGATGATTGCCAGCTTAAATAGAAATAATAATACACAAACAATGCGCCGAACCAAGTGTGCAAATTGTTAGCCAAACATCACAAAAACACACACAAACAAGAAAACAAAAAACTATGAAATTTATATAATAAATGTATGTATGCATATACATAGGTAGAAATATCTGTACAACATGTTGTACAGTGTACATCCATTGTGCATTGAGATCTACGCTGCAATTGTGTAGATTTTCGCATGCCACTCAATGGATGGTTGGTGGGAACCTTATGAATCACGATAACGTCCGTATGTCTACCTAAATATGATAAATAGATACAGAGGGGGTATACAAATTCTTGGGAAAATATCTATCAAAAGATCGCTAGATTATAATTTTTTTGGCATGTTTTGGTATGGATTTTGAAGGCTACGAAAGCTAAGGTTCGATGATCACTCTGAGGGCTGTTTAAGGGGAATTTGTTAATGGAATGGATCTCTTGGAAAGTTCTAGGAAAACACCAAAGAAACATTTAGGTGTGGCGAAGCCATACGCCGACCGATGATCATTCCTTTGGACATTCTGTTTGTACCCAAATATACGATTCTACAATACGTATATTCTCGTCAAGAACAGGTTGATTTTTTGTACCTGCACACGAGATCTTTTCATCCACAGCTGGGGGGGAACGTGCCAAAAAGAGTTGATCTGTAACTGTGTTAAATGCAAAACTTGATTGTTAAATACCAAAGCAGGAGCCATTAATCGAATTAGCATAGCATTGGGTGGTACAGAACCAGAGAACACCCAGGGCCCAGAGAAGATCGTACATATCTAGTTTGTCAGAGCAAAAACCCCCAACACCACAAGAAAAACCGTGGAAAAAGATCGCAGGCCTGGGGAAAACCAGAAAAACACGCGACAAAAATGCACAACCAGCGATCAGGTGAAGTAAACCGGTGAATTAATAGCAAACGACGCGATGCCCCCCGCCCTCCTCTCCGGCAACCGACTTGAACTAAAATAAAGACAAAATCTAAAACCAAAACCAACAAAATAATAAAAACCATCAAAGAAACCTGCTTTGTGGGGGGGGGGGGGGGACATTGCTGGAATACCGGAGTTGACACAGCCGTCGTAAGAGGAGGGGAGTGGCACAACGCCCCAAGTAGAAGAAGAAGGAGGAGGAGGTGGACGAGAAGAAGAAAAAACCCGCAAAGTTGAAAGCGAATTATGAATAGCAATGGCAAAAGCAAAAGCAAAGCCAAACCACAGAGAAAGAGACAACAAAAAAATGGCATGCATGTCGCATTTGAAAACGGCCTTATGCAATGCGCCAGAGCGGGAGGGTTTGAGCGAGGAGGAGAGTGCACGAGATGCAGAGCGACAGAGAGGGGCAATAAATCAAAACAATTATTATGTAAGCCTTGTGGCAGTGGCAGCGAGTGCAATGCAGCACGAAAACAGTTAACGCAGAGCCGCCACACTTTTTCGAGCTGGTGCCAGAAATAGAAATGAATTTTAATTTGAATTTCGTTTGTTTATTTATGGCGTTTAAAAGCCAAATCAGGGATTCCCCCCACCCGTCTCCCTATCACTTTTTTTTCTATGGGCTCTTCTCTGTCTCTCTTCTCTGTCTGTGTCGGCGCTTCATCTTTTTGGTTTGCGTGTGCGAATTGTTTATTTAATTTTAGTTATTGAAAATGCAATTTTCATTGCTTTCAATTTGGCAAGCGTTCAAACTAAATGGGTTTTTATTAACTGCATTAAGTCGTTAACAACCATTTTGCGGATGGGATGGGATGGGATGCGCTTAAACTGTGGTTATACGACAACATTATGAGGAAACCAAATCACGTATAAATAGAGTACTTTCTGGTGCATTCTAAGATTAAATCCGAGCGGTGGAAAATATTTCGTGTAACCGCGCAGCCTAATGGAATTTCAGAGCACGCACTCCATTAAAATGCTCGCCTGCATTCGAATTCAATGGCTCCACAATTGTCTCAAGATTGTGCTGGCCAATGCTTCTGCAACTGTATCAAGGCTGGCCCCACACACACGATAGCAAAATTTCATCACAACTTACCGTTTTTTTTTTGTTGTTTTTTTTTTGTTTCAGGCAAATAGATTCCCTTTCAATGTAAGCTTGTTTTTTTGCCGCTCTTCTTTATCGTCTTCTTCTGCTGCTGCTGCTCTGCTTGTAGTTGTTGCTGTTTCTTTTTGTATGCAAACGCTGTCACATAGCCACGACACACGCGTTATTGTTGCCTTTTAAGCCTCGCTTATCTTTTAATGAAGGAGCTGCTGGCAGCGACGCGAACCGAGAGAAAAAAAAAACACGAAACACGAAACACAGGTGTAGTAAAAATAACTGTTGATGTTCCACGACCAGAGAGTGGGAGAGCGCAGCACAAGAGAAGAGAGCGGGAGAGTGGTTGTTGCGGTTGTAGTTGTTGCTATCGCTGTAGCGCGCTCGATTAGATCCGTGGGGAACGTGTTAACGCTTTCGCGGGCTTTTTAACTTTAACTTGCTTTTTGTTAACTTGTTAGCATTGGGTAGGCAAACGACGCTCAAGTTCGAGTTGAAGTTCGAGCTGCGTTGGGTTTGATCGTGAGGTTGCTCTCATACAAAAGAGAGCGCCAGTCGAACCGAACGCTCAAACCAAACGCGATAGCGCATTGTGTAGCATACTTTTAGCTGATTTTCAGATCAGTTATGAAAATGAGAAAAGATGATTGCTTTTTTTATAGCCAAAATTTTGTTTTACCTTTCCATATTCAACGGTTAATGGTTTCGCTCTCAGTCTTACATTTCAATGGCTTTTTCCAGTCCCCAACCGTATTAACTCCCATTGTCTGCACCCCCTGGGTGGCAGGAGCTTCTTATCAGCGGTAGCCACTGTGGTTTCCAACTGAATGCATTACCTGTATGGCAATCAATTTGAGCAAAGGATGTGCCTCTCTGCGTCCGACCATATGCTGAAAATCCTTTTTTGCCCAAGCCAATGAAAATCGGATTTCGTAAAACAATAAGGGAGAAGCCTCTTCTTACATGACTGAGCTGACTGCAGAAAGTGGTACAGGTACAGTACCGTTGCCCAAGCCTTGAAAATGTAATCAAATGCTGCAAAATACACATAACATGCCGAAATAATGAAATCCATCAGATTGAAACTAAAAAAATATCCCCATGCCCATGCCTATGCCATCTCTGCCTGCTGTGGTCAACTGTACTTGTGTCATACGTTCAGGTTTGACAGCTGACAACTGTCATTTTCGGGTGTCTGTTGGTATTCACCTGACATTTGCTCGTCTGCTCATGGAATTTATTTAATTTCCGCATGGCCATTGAAGTAAATTGACTTCCAGCCCGCATCCTTGCACATGTGTGTAGATGTGGCGATATGTTGGCGATGGGGCGGTACGGGGACGGGATGACAAACAAAGCCAAATAGTATGCACTCTGTGCACAGTGGCAATGCCAATGCAAATTTGTTCATATCTTCTCTTCCAGATAAACATCGAAGCGAAATAGTCAAAGTTCCGTTCTGTTGGTGCTTTTTTCGGTGGCTCTCTTTGGCGACATTTCGGCGTTGCTCTTATCGTTTTAATTAGTTTTTGAAAAAGTTGTGCCAACAGAACCCGATAGAGAGAGAGAGGAACACCACCACTCCACCACTCAAGCCATACCACTGCCCCTGCCCCGGGCACATGTGGCAGACAGAGACAGGAATGGGCGGCAAGAGCAGAGGCAATTATGAGATTGCTAATAAGTTGCCACTTAGGAGTCCGATTGCATTTAAGGAGCGACTCCTTTTACATTTAATTAAGGCCAAAGTGAAGGGCGCCACCTGCTCTGTTTTCCTGTTTATCTTTGGTGGGTCCTTTCCCTTCCATTGTATCACGCTTAGCATGAATATTTATAGGAAATGGCGCGGAATTAAATGCAACTCCCCAAGAAACGTCGCCGGATTAGGCAGAATACCTCTGGCAGCCAACAAATTTATATGCAAAACAACAAAAACAGAAAAACAGAAAAGCAGAACCAAAATAAGAAGAGAAAATGCAATTCTGGAGGCTGGTTGGTGGGGGTGCCGGGTCTGTCGAGAGATTTGGCAAAAGTTTCGTGCACCTGCAATAAAAAAGTTTCTTTTAATCCTCCCAGGGATTTCGTAATAAATGATTTAAATTGCATTCCATTCCGAACACCCCCAGGTATTGAAGAGAGCGACTCTCGAAACGGTCTATGGAATATGGAAACATATGGGAATCCCTTGAAATACGCCCTTTCCTTTCCTCTCATTTTCAAATCTCAAGTGCCACAAAAACTCGAACGGGGGAAACTCAAATGAACTTTTTGTGCTCAAACCGTGCAAAAATTGTTCAATCTTTTCAAGTAAAGTAGCAGGCGCCCAGCACCGAGCAGCCAGCGAGCGGAACTTATTCGAGAATACTCACCCAATCCCAATCCCCATTGCTCACACTCAGCTGTCTCTGTGTACCTCTCGCTCTGTTCATTGTCATGCTCACACCACCCAGCAGCTGGCCATCCCTTTCTCGCGAGCGTGCCATGCATTTTACGTTTCGCTTGAAACGATCATGCGGGCTCATGTGTGTTGTGTGCGGGGTAATAAGCACAGAGTGGGAGGGCGAAAGCTTGCTTCTCGCTGCTGCGCCCCTGGTGTACACATGGATCACTTTATCGATTTTACGAAGAAGCGAAAATATGCGATCGATTGTGATCTCGAAATCGGAATATTTTTCGAGGCGAATACAACACACTAAAAAAGTCACCAGCGAGCATCAAGAAAATACATTAAAAATTAACAAAAATATAACAAAAAATGTACTTGGAGATGCCGGGGATTGAACCCGGGGCCTCTCACATGCAAAGCGAGCGCTCTACCACTGAGCTACATCCCCATTTGAAAATCTGAGCGCTAAATGCGAACAGAAGACTCAAAGAGAAGGCAGATAGTTTTTTTCTCAGGTAGGTAATACCTGTTAAATGTTAATACATAGTACATGTTAAGTGTAGAAACAAACACCCCTTGTTTCGTGCATTTCGGTTATTTCTTAGCTATGAAAAAGCAAAAACAATATTAACTTTATAATTATTTATAATTATAGAATAATTAAAATTAATGTGAATAAAATATTCTAATTCTTTCTGCCTTCTATTTCCCTACACTTAATCGCCCACATTTCACTATAAATTTAAGAGCATTGCTTTTATACGTTGACAGTTTAAACTCTCATGTGCAAACGTGGAAAACGTGCATTGGGCCGCCATGTTCACAATGGGGATGTAGCTCAGTGGTAGAGCGCTCGCTTTGCATGTGAGAGGCCCCGGGTTCAATCCCCGGCATCTCCAAGTACATTTTTTTGTCTTTTTTTTCTCCATTTCATTTTTATATTTTTTGAAACTTTAAATATATGTTTAGAGCAGAGAAGGCACATCAAAGAGGGAGCAAGCACGGAGTTATTTTGCTTCGTGTGGCTGCCTGTGTGTGGCTGCTCTTGAAGAGTCGGGCCAGGGCCAAAACGACTTGATTTATGCGCATCGAGGCGGCAATAATGAATTATTTATGCCGATTTACGGCTGCCAGGCAGGTCTGCATGTCAATTGGCAAAAACACACTATTGCTGCCCGACCAGGAAGGCGGATAGTGAGAGTGAGAAAGAGCGAGAGTGGGGCAGGGGCATATCCAAAACTTGAACGATTCTCTTGGCCTGTGTTTGACTTCTGGCCAGCATTTAAGCCAAAGCCACAATGCAGTCAAGTGGTTAAAATGTGTATACCGTAACGCTCTTTCCCCATTCAGCTAGGCGGCTGCCATGGGCGTTGGGGCATGTCTAGGCGCTGCTGCTGCTTTTGCTGGTGTTGGTGGATGAGGCTGCAAAGGAAATTGCCTTGTTCTCACTTTTGCAACATTTGCTCAGTGGAAATTAAAATTAAATTTTGCATGAGCCGCAAAGTTGACTTGAGCTGCTGTCCTTCCTGTGTACATTGCACGAGTATGCCTGCTGGGCCACTGCCATTCCTGACATGGATATGGCCAAAATGGCAGCAAGGCAGCGAGGCAGCAAGGCAGCCAGGCAGCCAGGCTCCTGGACAGGCAATTGATTTTGTTGCGGTTGCCTGAATGTGCTACACATGTCTTTGATTTCCTTATTGGTGTTCTGGTGGTGTCATAGCCTCTTTTCCATAAGGCTCCCGGCTCCCGGCTGCCTCCATCATCAATTAGCAAGAAACAAAAGTCGAAATCCAAAATCCTAAATCAGAAATGCGGAATCCCAATGCCTTCAGAGAGCCAGACAGACACAGCTCTCGCATAAATAAGATTTGCCATGTCTCATGTTGCATTGAAATTAATTACCATAACGACGTCTGTTCGTGTCAGTGTGTGGGATTTATTTGCTTGCAATAAATATTTTATAACACAAAGATGGACCCACCCGATGGACTTGAAGGCAGCAAGCATTCTTCATGCAGCATTTGAATAAAATAAAATCCAAATCGAAATTGTCACATAGAATTTATGTAATTGGATAAACACTGCAAGGACTCTGGACACTCAGGACACAGCAGCACCCACACACCCACAACAACAAAGAGAGAGAGCAAGAGAGAGATGGTTTTTAGGGAGAGTGTCCAGTCCAGTACAGTCCAGTCCTGTCCTGTCTGGACAGGCCTCGATTCGGTCTGGGGCAGCATGCTAAATAATTGAGGCAACAAACTAAACAAATGACATGGCCTCAATTCTGTGACGGGCGTGTCAAGAAGCCTGGGGGCGTGTGCGGCGTGTGCGGCGTGTGCGGCGTGTGCGGCGTGTGTGTGTGTGTGTGTGTCATTCGATTGGGGGGATTGGCTGCAGTTATGGCACGGTCTGGTGGCCAAGTTATTGATTTCATTTAGCTGCAGGCCTGAAAATAGTTCAGCTTAAGAGTTCACTTTACAATGTAATCATCATCTTAAAAATGATAGATATCAATTCCAAGCAATCCGCTGAGAGATTAAAAATGGAATAAAGATTAAGAAACAATTTGAAAAATGATTGCGAGTGCAAAATGTGATACAAATGCGATATCTAAATGGGTCTCAAGGTTGGATTATAGGCTTAAAGAAAGCATAGCCCAGTTATGCCTACGATATCTATCAATAAATGAACTGTGCTGCCCTCTGCCCCTTTGTGGCATGCCACACAATCCCAATGTTAATACGATAATGCGCTCAATTATAATATAGTTTGCACGACGCTCTCTTTGTGGCTTATCATAATCGGCCGACCTCCCGCACTCCACATTCCACACTCCACACACTCGAAGTGCTCTAATTACCCAGCCACAAATGCAAGTGAAGATAAGAAAGGACATTCAGGGACTTCACACACACACACACACAAATACTGTAGGAAAATGTTTGCTAGTCCGACTTAAGACCCAAAACTTAATGACATTAAATGGACATTTAAAATTCTCTTTCTGCCATCAACATCATCATCGGCATTGATACGAG